AGGAGCTGTCTCTCCTTTGTGTGCCTTGCCCTCCTTTCCATACAGTATTTGAATGTGAAAACACACACACACACACACACAGACAAACACACACAGACAATCACACACAGACCCTAAAGGCTATGGCAAACATTTCATAATGAAGATCTGAGATAACACATTTGCAGTGAGCTCCAAAAGTATTGGGACAGTGACACAATTTTGGGGTATTTTCATCCATATCGGATGAACCGTTTAGAAATTACAGCACTTTTTGTACATAGTCCCCCCATTTTAGGGGATCAAAAGTATTGGGACAAAAAAACTTGCATGTGTATTAAAGTAGTCAAAAGTTAAGTATTTGGTCCCATATTCCTAGCACGCAATGACTAAATCAAGCTTGTGACTCTACAAACTCGTTGGATGCATTTGCTGTTTGTTTTGGTTGTGTTTCAGATTATTTTGTGCCCAATAGAAATTAACGGTAAATAATGAATGATATAAAGTACAATAAGAATAGAACAAGTTACAGATGCACAAATATCAAACCCCACCAGAAATACTAACCTCCCCTGTTATTGTAATAGTGAGAGGATAGCATGTCTTGGGGGTATGATATTTGTGCCTCTGTAACTTCCTCACTCATCATTATTCATGATTCATTCAGGATTATCTGTAACCATGGCAGCATCCACATTAATGTAGAAGTGTTTAGAAACATATTATATTCTTATTTACAATAAAAGTGACTCCAAAATGACACAATACATTATTTACCGTTCATTTCTATTGGGCACAAAATAATCTGAAACACAACCAAAACAAACAGCAAATGCATCCAGCTAATGTGTAGAGTCACAAGCTTGATGTAATCATTGTGTGCTATGAATATGGGACCACTTAACTTTTTACTACTTTAATACACATAAGTTAATTTGTCCCAATACTTTTGGTCCCCTAAAATGGGGAGACTATGTACAAAAAGTGCTGTAATTTCTAAACGGTTCACCTGATATGGATGAAAATACCCTCGAATTAAAGCTGACAGTCTGCACTTTAACCTCATTGTCACGATCGTTGACACATGATGAAGCGGACCAAGGCGCAGCGTGATAAGTGTACATTATTTTAATGAGTACACACGAACAAAACAACAAACGATACGTGAAGTCCTAGGGTTTAAACACAAACCTTACGGATCAAGATCCCACAATACAAAAATGCCAACAGGCTGCCTAAGTATGGTTCCCAATCAGAGACAACGAGAATCAGCTGCCTCTGATTGGGAACCACCCTGGCCAACATAGAAACACAACAAACTAGAACAGAAACCTAGAAAACTAAACATAGAAACTAACACCCTGGCTCAACATTAAAGAGTCCCCAGAACCAGGGCGTGACACTCATAGTCATAGAGTACAGAGCCAAAACAACAACAACAATTATACTTTTGGAGCTCACTGTAAATTAGTAATGCAGAAGATTGCATGTTTCTAGTCCTCATCCTCGTAACCCTGATCTCTGGTCCTCATCCTCATAACCCTGATCTCTGGTCCTCATCCTCATAACCCTGATCTCTGGTCCTCATCCTCATAACCCTGCTCTCTGTTACCTCATCCACATAACCCTGATCTCTGGTCCTCATCCACATAACCCTGATATCTGGTCCTCATCCACATAACCCTGATCTCTGGTCCTCATCCTCATAACCCTGCTCTCTGTTACCTCCTCCACATAACCCTGATATCTGGTCCTCATCCACATAACCCTGATCTCTGGTCCTCATCCACATAACCCTGATCTCTGGTCCTCATCCTCATAACCCTGCTCTCTGTTACCTCCTCCACATAACCCTGATCTCTGGTCCTCATCCACATAACCCTGATATCTGGTCCTCATCCACATAACCCTGATCTCTGTCCCTCATCCTCATAACCCTGATCTCTGTCCCTCATCCTCATAACCCTGATCTCTGTTACCTCATCCTCATAACCCTGATCTCTGTTACCTCATCCTCGTAATCCTGATATCTGGTCCTCATCCTCATAACCCTGATCTCTGTTACCTCATCCTAATAACCCTGATCTCTGGTCCTCATCCTCATAACCCTGATCTCTGGTCCTCATCCACATAACCCTGATCTCTGGTCCTCATCCACATAACCCTGCTCTCTGTTACCTCATCCACACAACCCTGATCTCTGGTCCTCATCCTCTTCACCCTGATATCTGTTACCTCCTCCACATAACCCTGATCTCTGTTACCTCATCCTCATAATCCTGATCTCTGGTCCTCATCCTCATAACCCTGATCTCTGTCCCTCATCCTCATAATCCTGATCTCTGTCCCTCATCCTCATAACCCTGATCTCTGTTACCTCATCCTCATAGCCCTGATCTCTGTTACCTCATCCTCATAGCCCTGATCTCTGTTACCTCATCCTCATAATCCTGATCTCTGTCCCTCATCCTCATAACCCTGATCTCTGGTCCTCATCCTCATAACCCTGATCTCTGTTCCTCATCCACATAACCCTGATCTCTGTCCCTCATCCTCATAATCCTGATCTCTGTCCCTCTGGCTAAAAGCTGTATTTTTATGAATGGAGGGTGTGATGATGTCAGATATATGATGCTGAGGGATTATACTGACACAGCCCTATCACAAAAACACACACACACACAGTAAAACACAAGCACGTATACACACACAAGCACGTCTACACACAAGCACACACACACACATCTTCATGTGAGACTCATGCAAATGAATGTGTCTGCTCACGTCAGAGAGGCTCTCCAGGCCCTCTCCCTTGAGAACAGTCAGCTGACGGAATGTTAAAGCAAAACACCTCCAATAGCAGTGAAACGTGTAGAACCTCAGGACGTATGGAGGGAGGAGTTAGTCAGAATGGCTACAGCCTTGGTGGGTATGTAAAAAGCTCAAGTTATTGCACATGATGACAGCAAGTCATGTGATGTGATGGTTATGTGAAGTGTGGAGGGCATTGCAAGGGTGAATTGTAAGAGCACTTCTGAGTGAATGCTGGGAGTTTATTGAGCTCTGCGTGAATAGTTTGAAGCACTTTAGAAGGCAGAGGAACAATGAGAAGTATTGTAGTTTGGGCGTCAATGCGGGTTACATAATTGAAATGACTCAATTTGCTGGGTTTTATGAGGATCCATGAGGTTTCAATTAATAAAAGTGTGAATATGATTAAAACATACACTACATGACCAGAAGTATGTGGACACCTGCTTGTCGAACATCTCATTCCAAAATCACAGGCGTTAATATGGAGTTGATCCCCCCCTTTGCTGCTATAACAGCCTCCACTCTTCTGGGAAGGCTTTCCACTAGATGTTGAAACATTGCTGCGGAGACTTGCTTCCATTCAGCCACAAGATCGTTAGTGAGGTGGGTCACTGATGTTGGGCGATTAGGCCTGGCTCGCCGTCGGCGTTCCAATTCATCCCAAAGGTGTTTGATGGGGTTGAGGTCAGGGCTCTGTGCAGGCCAGTCAAGTTCTTCCACACCGATCTCGACAAACCATTTATGTATGGACCTCGCTTTGTGCACAGGGAGCATTGTCATGCTGAAACAGGAAAGTGCCTTCTCCAAACTGTTGCCACAAGCTGTAAACACAGAATCGTCTAAAATGTCATTGTATGCTGTAGCATTAAGATTTCCCTTCACTGGAACTAAGGGGCCTAGCCCGAACCATGAAAAACAGCCCCAGACCATTATTCCTCCTCCACCAAACTTTACAGTTGGCACTATGCATTGGGGCAGGTAGCGTTCTCCTGGCATCCGCCCGTCAGACTGCCAGATGGCAAAGTGTGATTCATCACTCCAGAGAAAGCGTTTCCACTGCTCCAGAGTCCAATGGCGGCGAGCTTTACACCACTCCAGCCGTCGCTTGGCATTGCGCATTGTGATCTTAGGCTGCTCGGCCATGGAAACCCATTTCATGAAGCTCCCAACGAACAGTTCTTGTGCTGACGTTACTTCCAGAGGCAGTTTGGAACTCGGTAGTGAGTGTTGCAACTGAGGACAGGCGATTTTTAGGCGCTACGTCCACATACTTATGTATATATAGTGTATCTGAAATCCCGGTATTAAATTCCCTGTATAAATTCCCACCAATACATATTATTACATTTCTATAACTGGGTAGGCCTGTTGGCATGTTGTTGATACACAGCTTTTATTATTTGGCGCCTGACACTGCTTTGGCGCCACCAGGACCCTAACCTGCCCGCGACGTGTTGTGATGGGCGTCCTGATCAATGGCCCGATTTTAAAATCACTATACCAGGAGGAGCGCGAGCCATGCCAGTAGATGCATTTATCACCGGCGGCGTCTCTTCTCTGCAGACCATAAGCGAGACAGAGAACTGCGACTGCGACAGCGATTTCGCAGTGCCTCAGTGGTGGGTTCAGCGCGTGAGTCATCGCCGGTGGTTTTAACCTCTTATCTTCCGCGAGGGAGGGATATAATAGGATAATAAACAACTCATTGTTACGCCTTATTTTTCTCATAATTCCATTAGGCTAATGCAAATCACTGCAATGGATGTCAACAGACATAGGCTAATTGTAAGGTGATTTCTATGGTTGTAGTTTTTATGGTTAGGCTATTGCTTACTGCTTGAGTAAATGTGTGCCTCATTAGCAAATGAATGTTTACAAGAATTGCAATCTGACTGGGGTGGTAAATTAAGCTATACAATTAAATGCAGTAAGAATTGATGTCACAGTGATAACTATTGGCCTTCACAAAGCTAATTGGGACAAGCCCAAAAATAACCCACCACTTTTTCAGTGAATAGCGCTTGAATAATAATTGATACAGCTGGAAACAGACAACATCCATGTCTATTTTAAGCACACTGCCTTTCTTAGCATGCTATATCATAAGCCTAAATCATGTATTATGGATTTCCAAAGGCTGGGTATTGCGTGCGTGCTGCTGTGATGACGCGCGAGTCAGGTGTTGCCTCATATATCGCGGGGAGCTGTCCTGGAGCTGAAAACAGAATCGCTCGCGCTACGACTGGGAGGAGATGCTATACACGTTTACTACTGTCGTCTGAGCTACTTGCCAAAGGTAAAAACTCATGCATGTCTTTTATTTCTCAAACAAAGATTATGATGTTTGTAAGTTATTTGTGTGCTTTCTAGCATTCCATATTAAGATTTTCTCTCTCCTCATCTCATCTTACTCAAGTTCTCATCTCTTATCAGATCTCGGCAATCGCTTGGAATTGATTTGAATAACTGATAGCTGTGTGCATGTTGTTGTGATGCATGCCAAATAGTCTAATGCGTTTTTTCATTGGGCAACATTGAGATGTGAATTAATTATTAATCTATCCTTCGGAAATGTGTTTAATCGAGATGGTTTGGAGAAAGGCAGCCACAAGCGAAAGGTTGCCCTGACAACGGGCAGTGACTCATCCTGTGATGTAGTCTAGTCATTTAAAAACAGTGATTCACAAATATAGCCCACTTCTCCTTGGTGGGTGATTATACCCTGCTCTCGCTATAGCCTACTTTTGATAATTAGTGCATTGAATGAGTGCATGATGCGTGCGTGAAAACAGTTTTGTGTTATATAGCATTCATCACTTACAAGGGTAATCAATGAACTCGGCATGAATTGAAACCCTGATTCTGGCCAAATATTGTGGACTTTGCATTAAAATAATAATTTGCATTGGAGTGTGGTGGTAACATCCTTAAAGAGTTAGAAGATTCTAAGAATGTCGAAGATAGAATCTCAGATAAAATGTTAAAAATGTGCAGGTATATTATTGTGTTAAACTCAGCTCTCTCTCTCGCTCTCTCTCTCTTGGCGATATGAAGATGCTGTCACTCCCCAAGCTATCCACGGGGAAAACTGTTGTTCTCGCCTGCCTCCTCCATGCGTGTGCATCCCTCCCCCGCCACCACAGGCTCAGAGGCGGGGAGTCCGAGGACCGACAACCCGCTGCCTACCCGCCCAGCTCCGACATGATCAAAGCCCTGGAGTACATCGAGAGCCTGAAGCAGCGGACAGACGGGGGCCGAGAGCGAGAGGAGCCAACAAGAGACTATGATGAGGTCGAGAAGTTCCGCATCCTCCTCCAGCTCGCCTCTCTCCAGGATGAAGGCGCACCCGAAAGGCAGTCTCCCTCGCCGGCCCAGAGGCAGCAAGACATCCCGGCTGAGCAGCTGGTGAGAGCCTTGCTCAGGACCCTCCAGGAGCAGCCCGCTAGTCCCCCCAGACCCGTTCCTGTGGTGCCGGGGAACGAGCGCCGCACGCACAGGTACCAATCGGTGAACACAGGCAACCCCGTAAATGCGCCTGTCTACGGTGGCTTCCCGAGGCCACACAAGAAGTACCCGCTGATGTTCGAGGACGAGGAGAATAGAGATAGCGCCAAGCGCGCCACGGAGGACCTGGACCAACAATACACCCCTCAGAGCCTCGCCAACCTGCGCTCCATCTTCGAAGAACTGGGGAAACTATCCACATCCAACGGCCAGAAGCGCGGAATCTTTGACGATGATGATGACGACGATTTATTCAGTCTGAGGAACCTGGCCTACGAGGACGTGGCGGGCGGGGAGGAGTTGATTCCCTTAGAGGAGCAGGTCGAGACGGAGGAGGTGGTGAACGGGAGCCACGAGGAGTTCGACAGGGCTCTGGAGCAGAACTATGACGAGGATGAAGAGGAGGAGGAGGGCAACGGAATGCAGGTGCAACGCAGAGCCAGCCAGGACAAAGAGGACCCAGAGGATGATACTAAACTAGTGGATTATTACCTGTTGAAGATCCTGGAGATGAGTGAACATGAGACAGCCAAGAGGCAAGCTGGAGAGCAAAACAAGAGAGTGATCCGCCACCCCCTGGTGGACCCCCGGGCCCTGAACGAGCTGTTAGAGATCTCCCTCAAGCTCCACATCCCCCCGGAGGACCTTATTGATATGCTGATCACCGAGGAGATCAGAAAACTAGACCGTCACCCTCAAGTCTCTTCCCGCTACAGGACCAAACCGAAGATCAGATACTACAGCCGGAGACTGCCAGTCAAAAACGCTCCTGAAGACATGGACGAGGAAGACTTCCTGAAAATAATCGAAATGGAAACCATCAGCAACGACTATCCTGTGAGTCGGAGGCCGCTCAAAAGTGTCTCTGTCCCGGCCAGGGTTTCAGCACCACCCGCCCCGGCGAGAGTTTCAGCACCAGCACCAGTGGCTCCTCCAGCGGCTCCTGCAAAAATCCCAGCTCCGTCCGGCCGAAGGGAAAACTTATTTATGTCGGAGCTCAACAAGATGCCCTTTAGGAGAGAAGCCGACAACGATGATGAGGCGGATGAAGACGAGATAACAACATTTCTGGCGGCCAAAATATTAACGGAGTACCCTAGCACCATCAGCAAACGCGACACCCAATCTCAGGCAAACGGACAGTTTCCTTATGAGTTATACGAACAAGCCATGAAAGATTACTTTGACCAAGCGGACAGTGAGAAAGCAGGCACGCAAACAAATAGAGATTCAGAAGCTAATGAGGAGGTAGTGGAGTCCACGGAGACGCAGGTGAAAGATGAGGTAACGCCAGAGACGGCGGCTCCAGAGACGGAGAAAGAGGAAAAGGAACATCGCGGAAAACCGTTTGCTGGAATGTAAGCTACGCTCTGAAGACGCGCGCGGCATCCTCTAATGAAATATTAATAAGTCATGTTTATACTATATCAAAATTACCAGTCTGCTGGACGTACTCTGGTTTACATAAAATGTTTATATACATGAAGTAACATATATGAATTATATCAGTGTGCTGGGGATGGAGGCAACGTGTGTTGTGTAAACATCTGGGTTTGTGAGTTCCCAATCTTGTAACATTGTGAAAATGTCATTCCCTGATATAGGCTAGAGTAAGACCCTCACCATCCTGCCTTCCAACCCTGTAACGCTGCAAGCTCTGTAATCGTTGGACTCTCTCTATTGTTGTGGTATATATGCTCATTTTTAAACCATTTTGTACGTGTTCAATAATATGTGACGAGTTGGAGATGAATAAAGCATTAGAAGTATTATTTTCTTCTTGCTGTGTTCTGTTTTTTTAAATTAATAAACACTACATTGATTAGAAATACCTCCTGAATGATCAAACATTGATTGACAGTGATGATTAGGTATTGATGATTAGATATGCCTTCTGATTGAAGCTTGAATACAGAATGAAAGTGCGAGAAGTTTATTTTTCACATCCCTCTTGAGCAAGCTTGGACCTGAATAAGGTTGAAAGGACAATTCCGAGGTGGAATCAACACCAACTCGAGGTAAGATTATAAAGAAAGTAAAGTGTCAGTGTTTGCCTATAAATTAACAATTCTACAGATAAATGTGCTTGTTTTATCAATGTTTATCTAGTTTGTTTTTCAAACTTCAGGACCATGGACAGCTCACGCATATAAAACGTCAAAAAAAATGAACATCAAATAGTCTAGCCTACAACAGAAATATAAATCAGAGGCTTCTTTATCAAAAAACAACTTTTAATTCCGTCTTCAACATTCAAGATCCATAATTAGTTATATAAAAAACAAACAGTGACATTCACCCTCATAAATAATCATTCCCTTTCCAAAAAGATGTAGTCCTACACCAAGTTACACAGAAAAGGCTAGTCTATAAGATACATTTAAAACACAACTTCAAATACATATTCTAAAAAGGCGCTTCTTAAAATGTCAATATAGCGTACATATATGTCATTAAAAAAAATCTATGAGTATTGATTATAAAGCACTTGTTGGTGATAACCACAGTTTTCAGTAACTTCAATGTACATCAATGATCCAGAGGGATGGGTGACCATATCAATATACATTTGATAATAGCTCAATCAATGAGTCTCTTCCATATCTTTCCAGTTTAGACCTAATAGAGGAAAATGAAGCATTATTTATTACTGGTCACCATGATAATGTCCTATTTACAGAACAAGATACATTTCACTGCACTTCCCTATATAAAAAACACCCTGCCTCAGGAGACAGATTCAGCCATATACATATAATTATAGAACTCATAACTCCATGGATTCTCTACAGTAGGAAGACTTCCAGTTCTGGAATTGTCCAGATTCCTTCTTGTGTGTGTAGATCCATTTTCCCAGTGTTAGAATGCAGGCTTGCTCATGTACTCCTCCATGGTCTACAGCGGAGAGAAGGAGGGACAGATGACACGTGTGATCTCCATATCAACAAGCCTTGTCCTAATGTGATTAATATTCATAGCCACACCTACAGAACATCAAACCATAGAATTGGAATGATTCTCATTCTAAATGTATGCATCACACATCCGTGAAGAAGCCATAGGAGCGTAGAACGCCAACACACTGTAGACTACTATGCTACGAACACAATCATTAGCTTCTAACCTTTCTGTCCACATTCAAGGCCATCCAAGCTCCAGACCAAAATCACTGTTGTCAATCTCAGCCTATAGCAATGATGATGATGATGGTGAAGATTAAAATGAGCGTGATGATGCAACAAGTTCAGATAGCATGCACGTTCATTAGACTAGATCAAAAAAGTTTTTATTCCCCGAAGCAAGAAGATGGTGTGAAACCAGAGAAGGCCATGCAGAGTGAGAGTCTGGCTTAGTGCGTCTATAGCGCCACCGAGAGCTCAGGATAGACGGACAATACAGAAAGCAGACAGCTACTGCCAAAGCTCAGACCTACAGCAACTGAAGAATAATGTAAATAGAAGAATAATCTCAATCAGTCTCTCTTTCTGAGAGAGAGGAGAGAGAAGAGAGAGAGGAGAGAGAGGAGAAGAGAGAAGGAGATAGTAAGAAGAGTAGAAGAGAGATCGGGTAGAGAGTAGTAGGAGGAGAGAGAGGCGTAGAGAGAGAGCTCCTCCTATGACGCTCTTTCTCTCTCGCTCTCTCGCTTCTTCTCTCTCTCCTCTCCAGTAGATCCTCTCTGCTCTCCCTCTCTCTTCCTCGCTCTCTCTCATGCCTCTCTCTCTCTATCTCTCTCTCTCTCTCTGTCTCCATCCTCTCTCTCGCTCTCTTTCGCTCTCTCTCTCTCTCTCTCTCTCCGCCTCTTCTCTCCTCTCGTCTCTTCTCTCCTCTCTCTTCTCTCTCTCTTCTCTCTCCCCTCTCTCTTTCCCTGCTTCTTTCTATGGCCCAGTCATATGGTTCATGAAGGGAAGCCTATTAGCTGAGACAGACAGGAGAGGAGAGCTCACCAGGAAGTCAGTCAGCTGCTGCACATTATCAACCCATGCTGAGACAGTAACACTTTTTCAACAGTCCACTTTCACCTGGCATTACTAAGGAATTATAGGGTAAAATGGCTACTTTTGAGTACCTACTAGAAATAATTCATAAAAATTGGTAACAACTTGTTACTAAATGGTATAGCTATGCTCGTGTGTTCAATCTCAAATAAACAATAGGTTAATTAGAGCTAATTATTATGTAATTACATATGAAAATACCAAGTAAATATCAGACCATGAGATAAAGTGTTTTCCCATGTTGCTTCTAGACACTGATCATTCTCCCCCAAATAGTCTCGGTTAAGATTGGAGGCAGAAATACTGATCCTAGATCAGTCCCTACGAAGCAGGTTCTACCCTGACTGTGGCATTTCTCTCACCTCCTGTAGCATGTCCGAGGCCTCGATGGAGCGGGACACCACTAGTTTGGACGTCTCCTGTACCTCTCCCCCTAACAGAAACTCATCCAGGATGAAGTAGGCCTTTTCAAAGTTAAAGATGATGTCCAGCTCACACACCTGCATGGGGAGAGGAAGAAGAAATCACCCAAGGTTCAAGAGGTACTGTCCAGTCTAGCAGGAATCATTTTACTGTGTGTTAAATAATATATACTATGCAGGCAGTGCAGTTTCAGTCATAGTTTGGGAAGAAATAGGTTGAAACAGAAGGGAAGGAAATGGGAGGAAAAGAGAGAGAAATACACTACCGTTCAAAAGTTTGGGGTCACTTAGAAATGTCCTTGTTTTTGAAAGAAAGCAATTTTTTTGTCCATTAAAATAACATAAAATTTATCCGAAATACAGTGTAGATATTGTTCATGTTAATCCAAACATCAGTCCTGTGTTCCCATGGGGCGGCACACAATTGGCCCAGCGTCGTCCAGGGTAGGGGAGGGAATGGCCGGCAGGGATGTAGCTCAGTTGGTAGAGCATGGCATTTACAACGCCAGGGTTGTGGGTTCGATTCCCACGGGGGGCCAGTATATAAAATAATGTATGCACTCACCAACTGTAAGCAGACGCTCTTATCCAAGTTTATCATTTTAAAAAGGCTAATTGATCATTAGAAAACCATTTTGCAATTATGTTAGCACAGCTGAAAACTGTTGTGCTGATTAAAGAAGCAATAAAACTGGCCTTCTTGAGACTAGTTGAGTATCTGGAGCATCAGCAATTGTGGGTTCGATTACAGGCTCAAAATGGCAAGAAAACAAATAACTTTCTTCTGAAACTCGTCAGTCTATTATTTTTCTGAGAAATGAAGGCTATTCCATGCGAGAAATTGCCAAGAAACTGAAGATCTCATAAAAAGCTGTGTACTACTCCCTTCACAGAACAGCGCAAACTGGCTCTAACCAGAATAGAAAGAGGAGTGGGAGGCCCCGGTGCACAACTAAGCAAGAGGACAAATACATTCGAGTGTCTAGTTTGAGAAACAGACGCCTCACAGGTCCTCAATTGGCAGCTTCATTAAATAGTGCCCGCAAAACACCAGTCTCAACGTCAACAGTGAAGAGGCGACACACAGTTGATGTCGGAAGTTTACATACACTTAGGTTGGAGTCATTAAAACTCGTTTTTCAACCACTCCACAGATTTCTTGTTAACAAACTATAGTTTTGCCATTCGGTTAGGACATCTACTTTGTGCATGACACAAGTAATTTTTCCAACAATTGTTTACAGACAGATTATTTCACTTATAATTCACTGTATCACAATTCCAGTGGGTCAGAAGTTTACATACACTAAGTTGACTGTGCCTTTAAACAGCTTGGAAAATTCCAGAAAATGATGTCATGGCTTTAGAAGCTTCTGATAGGCTAATTGACATCATTTGAGTCAATTGGAGGTGTACCTGTGGATGTATTTCAAGGCCTACCTTCAAACTCAGTGTCTCTTTGCTTGACATCATGGAAAATCAAAAGAAATCAGCCAAGACCTCAGAAAAAAAATGTGTAGACCTCCACAAGTCTGGTTCATCCTTGGGAGCAATTTCCAAATGCCTGAAGGTACCACGTTCATCTGTACAAACAATAGTACGCAAGTATAAACACCATGGGACCACGCAGCCGTCATACCGCTCAGGAAGGAGACGCATTCTGTCTCCTAGAGATGAATGTACTTTGGTGCGAAAAGTGCAAATCAATCCAAGAACAACAGCAAAGGACCTTGTGAAGATGCTAGAGGAAACATGTACAAAAGTATCTATATCCACAGTAAAACGAGTCCTATATCGACATAACCTGAAAGGCCGCTCAGCAAGGAAGAAGCCACTGCTCCAAAACCGCCATTAAAAAGCCAGACTACGGTTTGCAACTGCACATGGGGACAAAGATTGTAACTTTTGGAGAAATGTCCTCTGGTCTGATGAAACAAAAATAGAACTGTTTGGCCAAAATGACCATCGTTATGTTTGGAGGAAAAAGGGGGTTGCTTGCAAGCCGAAGAACACCATCCCAACCGTGAAGAACGGGGGTGGCAGCATTATGCTGTGGGGGTGCTTTGCTGCAGGAGGGACTGGTGCACTTCACAAAATAGATGGCATCATGAGGAAGGAAAATGATGTGGATATATTGAAGCAACATCTCAAGACATCAGTCAGGAAGTTAAAGCTTGGTCGCAAATGGGTCTTCCAAATGGACAATGACCCCAAGCATACTTCCAAAGTTGTGGCAAAATGGCTTAAGGACAACAAAGTCAAGGTATTGGAGTGGCCATCACAAAGCCCTGACCTCAATCCTATAGAACAGGGGTGTCAAACTCATTTTAGCTCAGGGGCCACATGGAGGAAAATCTATTCCCAAGTGGGCCGGACCTGAAAAATCATGGTATATATATATATAACTTAAAAACAACAACTTCAGATTGTTTTCTTTGTTTTAATACGATCAACATACAACATAAAGCTGGAGCCTGAGGACAGTGTGTCCAAAATAGTACAAGCACAACATCACTATTAATCATAAAACACGTCAAGTTTATTTGAAAATTCAAAAGAAAAAGAACACACAAACACACAATGCCTCAGTGATTAACAGAACTGTTTCACAGATCACAGAACTATATCAGGGTGTCATTTCTCAGGCAGAAATGTAGATAAAAATAATGAAATCCTGTTCCCCAAACAAGTGCAAGAACCACAGAGTCAAGAATAGGTTAAATATACAAATAAAATAAAATCAATTAAAAACAATAGCACATCAACATAAAAACATATAAACATAAAGCTGGAGCCCGAGGACAGTGTCCAAAAGCACAACATCACTATTAATCATAAAACACCAAGTTATTTGAAAGTTCTGAGGACAAAGAACACACAAACACACAATTCCTCAGTGATTCACAGAAGTATATCACAGATCACAGAACTATATCAGGGTGTCATTTCTCAGGCAGAAATGTAGATAAAAATAATGAAATCCTGTTCCCCAAACAAGTGCAAGAACCACAGAGTCAAGAATAGGTTAAATATACAAATAAAATATAATCAATTAAAAACAATAGCACATCAACATAAAAACATATAAACATAAAGCTGGAGGCCTGAGGACAGTGTCCAAAAGCACAACATCACTATTAATCATAAAACACCTCAAGTTATTTGAAAGTTCTGAGGACAAAGAACACACAAACACACAATGCCTCAGTGATTCACAGAAGTATATCACAGATCACAGAACTATATCAGGGTGTCATTTCTCAGGCAGAAATGTAGATAAAAATAATGAAATCCTGTTCCCCAAACAAGTGCAAGAACCACAGAGTCAAGAATAGGTTAAATATACAAATAAAATAAAATCATTAAAAACAATAGCACATCAACATAAAAACATATAAACATAAATCTGAAAGCGTTGCTCAAACTCCCGTAACAGTCCCGTTATTTTATCTTTGAACCGCTTCATGTCTGCCACAAGTTGGGGTCGCGCACACATTTTTCAGACAGGGGAAGTGAGCTGCATCACCACCGGCAAGTTGCGTCTCCCACAATGACAGCTTCAACTTGAAAGAACGTATGCTGTCATAATACTGCGTGACAACTTTGTTGCGCCCTTGCAGCTGTTTGTTCAAGTTATTCAGGTGCTCTGTAACATCCACCATAAATGCAAGGTCCGGCATCCATTCTGCGGAATGAAATTCTAACACTGGTTTGCCCTTTTCTTCCATGAACTGTTCAATTTCTTCTCGTAAATCAAAGAAACGCCTCAGCACAGCACCTCGGCTTAACCATCTTACCTCAGTGTGGTATGGCAGGCCATAGATGTGGTCTTTCTCTCTGAGAAGGCTGTCAAAACTGACGGTGATTCAGGCTTCTGGATCGGATGAAATTAACAGTTTGGATGACCACCTTCATGACGTTATCCATCTTTAATGACTTGCAACACAAAGCCTCCTGGTGCAAAATACAGTGAAAAGTCAAAAATCACATCCTCCCATTTGCAGATTGCACTTTCTCTCTGAACTTTGTCACAAACGCCTGCTTTTTTTTCCCGATCATTGAGGGCGCACCATCTGTAGCCAGGCTGACAGCGCGGGACCAGTCCACTCCGACCCTGTCCAGCGCGCCGACGAGTGCGGTAAAAATATCAGCTGCTGTCATTGTATCTGTCATCGGCACCAAACTCCACGAACTCCTCGGTGACGGTCAATGTGTCATCAACTCCGCGGATGAAAAAATGGCCAGTTGTGCAACATCTGTAATGTCCGTGCTTTCATCAATTGCAACCGAAAACGCAATAAATGACTCACATAGTGGCGACGAAGGTTATATTCTTTCAGCACTGCAACATGCTCTGAACACACCAAACATACAGCTTTCCCATTCAATTCCGTGATTAAATAGGATGACAATTTTTCTTGGAACACTCTGCACTCTGCGTCCACTTTTCTCTTTTTTGACAGAGACATATTGGGGCAATGAGGGTGCCAAAGCACATAATGTTAAAAGTAGAAGCCGTAATAAATATCGCGGGCAAAACAAAGTAGCTCATTGGCTGCACGTGCTTGACCTACTTGCTCTGCCCCGGTATAAACAGTTTGCTTGCTTAACACAATTGCTATTGCGCCATCCAGTGGACGCAATTGGAACAGCAGTTTATTTTATAGAAAAATTGCAGCGCATTTGTATACTTTACAAAATAATGTTTTATTTTTATTTTTTATTTTTATTTTTATTATCTCGCGGGCCGGATTAAACCCGTTTGCGGGCTTGATCCGGCCCGCGGGCCGTACGTTTGACACCCCTGCTATAGAACATTTGTGGGCAGAACTGAAAAAGTGTGTGCGAGCAAGGAGGCAGACAAACCTGACTCAGTTACACCAGCTCTGTCAGGAGGAATGGGCCAAAATCCACCCAACTTATTGTGGAAGGCTACCCAAAACATTTGACCCAAGTTAAACAATTTAAAGGCAATGCTACCAAATACTAATTGAGTGTATGTAAACTTCTGACCCACTGGGAATGTGATAAAAAAAAAAAAAAAAAGCTGAAATAAATAATTCTCTCTACTATTATTCTGACATTTCACATTCTTAAAATAAAGTGGTGATCCTAACTGACCTAAGACAGGGAATTTGTAGTAGGATTAAATGTCAGGAATTGTGAAAAACTGAGTTTAAATGTATTTGGATAAGGTGCATGTAAATTCCGGAATTCAACGCGAAGAGAGAGAGAGAGAGGAAGAGAGGGAGAGAGTGATAGAGTAGACGGAGGTTGAGAGGGAGAGATCGAGATGAGAGAGTGGATTGATACGGTCGACGAGAGAGAGAAAGATGTCATGAGGATGATGAGAGAGAGAGAGATGAGGAGAAGATGAGAGAGGAGAGAGAGACCGAAGAGCCGACGCGAGGAGAGAGCCGACCTGACGGAGGAGCAGAGACGCTCGATACCCCAGAGAGACGGAGAGGAGAGACCCCTGAGACTGAGGTCTATGACCAGAGAGCTCCGACAGGAGGAATCTCGATGACTCCGATAGAAGAGAGAAGGAGCACCGCTTGCCGAGAAGGAGATGAGAACGAGACGAGCACCGTAGAGAGAGGGAGACCATGACTGAGCAGAAGAGGATGAGAGGGAGTGAGAGGCGGAACCTGAGAGAGCATTGAGCAACGAGAGATCGAGCGAGAGAGCGAGAGACAGATGAGAGCGAGAGGATGGGAGAGAGAGACAGAGGAGAGGAGAGAGAGGAGAGAGAGAGAGACATAGGAGAGGACAGAGAGAGACAGAAGAGAGAGCGAGAGCGAGGAGGACGAGAGAGAGGACAGAGAGATCAACTGAAATAAAGAGAGTGCTGGGTGAAAGGTGTCCCCTTACGTACGTTGCCAAAGTACTTGTCCAGCAGCTCCACATAGCGATGCAGCACCTCCAAGGCTAGAAGCTCATTCTCCTCAGCATCCAGACCACAGCAGAAATACAGACTGGCATACCTAAAGTACAGAGAGGGGTGGGGCAATACAGTTAGAGTGGTGGTGGTATTCCACTTTGGACTACTTAGAATTTGAGATGCAACCTTAGATAAACAGTAAGCAGTGTGCTCTCCCCTCCCCTTCCCCGCCCTCCTCCCATTTTCACTTCTTGTAGACGATCTTCAGGTCTTTCCAGTGCAGGAAGTTGCAGGAGCGTGGTTTCCGTGCCAACACCATGGTGGTCATTTCCCTGATGATCTTCTTCTTCTCTCGCTCGGGGATGGGCGTGAACCACTTCTGGAGGCGGAGCTTGCCCTGGCGACTGAAGAGGAGCAGGAAACGCATCTACAGGACGAGATGGGTTAGGAGAGCACATGGAGAGAGAAATATAGCTAGGGCAGAACGCTGGGTTCCAATATTTATCTTTCCAACCTTCGTTCAGGTAGTTAGGTGAAAGGGTTACACAATTCAGAAATAACAGTATACAGTAAACCAACCCTTTCATGTTAGATCAGGAGTTATCAATGAATAGGGTCAGAATTAATCAATGTTCATACCAAACAATGTGTTTAAAAGGAGTTTTCATATTTAACTACCATAGATCTATTTCAGAGATGAGAAATTGGCTGAAAAACTGGAGAAACAGACACACACACACACAGCGAGTCCCTGAACGACTGCCTACGTCTGACTCAAGCTTTATACAAAGGTCCCCTTTATTAAAGTTATTGCTATTGACAGTCTATTAAAAAGTAACTCTGCTAACCTAACGCTAAACTAACACCATAGTCACATGACAAAGGGAGGTGTAATTGAGAAAAGGCAGAAAGGAAAGAGCGGGACCGGATAAACGGTAAGTCAACCTGAGAAAAGAGCGAGAGAGAGCGAGAGAGCGAGAGAGGGAGAGAGGGGGAGAGAGCGAGAGAGGGAGAGAGGGAGAGAGCGAGAGAGAGCGAGAGAGAGCGAGAGAGCGAGAGAGAGCGAGAGAGAGCGAGAGAGAGCGAGAGAGAGCGAGAGAGCGAGAGAGAGCGAGAGAGCGAGAGAGCGAGAGAGAGCGAGGGGGGTGGGATGGAGGTAAGCAGATACCAATCAGGGTTGGTTAGGTTATTTTCTAAATGTAATCCATTACAGTTACCCGTCTAAAATTGCAATCAGTAACATAACTTTTGGATTACCCAAACTCAGTAACGTAATCTGATTACTTTCAGTTACTGTTGGATTATTCTCCCTTTAAGAGGCATTAGAAGAAGACTAAAAGGATCAAATCAAACGCATTTGGTGTTTCATCATATAGTGGTTTCTGACTTGTGGTCAGACTCACTCAGGTGGGACAAACTTGTGCCTTTTTTCAATGCTGAATTGAATGTCATTGAGAAAACAGAAAGTAATCATCTCATTTTTCAACATTATCTGTAATCTGATTCAAATATGTTTGCTCGTAACGTAACTGATTACAGTTTTTTGGTAATCAGATTACATGTAACTGATTAGATGTAATCAGTTCCTCCCCAACCTCTTTCGTTTAGTGATACTGTTTTATTTCCAAGAGAGTTCAAGAGAGTTGAAAGGAGATGTGTTAGTGCTGTTTAGAGAGTGTTTCCTTGCTTTGTTCAGCTGGATGTCCAATTTGATATTCATTAGAACTAAGCCAATGGGGCAAAGGGCTCTCTGGTTTCATCTTCCTGCTATTGTTGACTTCAGAGTACCACAGCTGACAGGCCTCTGAGGATGTGTGTTGTTGTCAACTGTTAAACTGAGCCGGCGACGCCAGCAAAGCCATTCGTTGGCCAGCAAAGCCATACAGAATACATAAATTAATTAACTTAATATAAAATGTGTTTTTTTCTCAACCTTGCACTGCAGATGTGTATTGTTGTTAATGAATGGCAGCAAAACCATTGATATTTCTGGGACTTTTGAGGCATTCGTTGGTCTGACAAGGACATTTAGAGAGATATGCAGCGCCTTCAGAAAGTATTCACACCTCTTGACTTTTTCCACATGTTGTTGTGTTACAGGCTGAATTTAAAATGGATTAAATGGAGATTTTGTGTCACTGGCCTACACACAATACCCCATAATGTCAAAGTTGAATCATGTTTTTAGAAACTTTTACAAATTAATTAAACATGTAAAGCTGAAATGTCTTGAGTCAATAAGTATTCAACCCCTTTGTTATGGCAAGCCTAAATATGTCAGGAGTAAAAATTTGCTGAACAAGTCACAATAAGTTGCATGGACTCTGTGTGCAATAATAGTGTTTAATATGGTTTTTGAATGACTACCTCATCTCTGTACCCCACACATACAATTATCTGTAAGGTCCTGCAGTCGAGCAGTGAATTTCAAACACAGATTGAACCACAAAGATCAGGGAGCTTCTCCAATGCCTCACAAAGATGGGCACAATAAAACACACATTGAAGATCCCTTTGAGCACGGTGAAGTTATTACTTACACTTTGGATGGTGTATCAATACACCCAGTCAATACAAAAATACAGATCAAATCAAATGTTATTTGTCACGTGCCAAATACAACTGGTGTAGTTTACCGTGAAATGCTAGCTTACGAACCCTTCCCAACAATGTAGAGTTAAACAAATTAAATAGTAACACAAGAGGAATAAAATAAAATACACAAGAATGGAGCTATATATAGGGAGTACCAGTACCAGATCAGTGTGGAGCTATATACAGGGAGTACCAGATCAATGTGGAGCTATATACAGGGAGTACCAGTACCAGATCAATGTGGAGCTATATACAGGGAGTACCAGATCAATGTGAGGCTATATACAGGGAGTACCAGTACCAGATCAATGTGGAGCTATATACAGGGAGTACCAGATCAATGTGGAGCTATATACAGGGAGTACCAGTACCAGATCAATGTGGAGCTATATATAGGGAGTACCAGTACCAGATCAATGTGGAGCTATATACAGGGAGTACCAGTACCAGATCAATGTGGAGCTATATACAGGGAGTACCAGTACCAGATCAATGTGGAGCTATATATAGGGAGTACCAGTACCAGATCAGTGTGGAGCTATATACAGGGAGTACCAGATCAATGTGGAGCTATATACAGGGAGTACCAGTACCAGATCAATGTGGAGCTATATACAGGGAGTACCAGTACCAGATTTCACCATGAGGCCAACTGTGACTTTAAAACAGTTACAGAGGAGTTTAATGGCTGTGATAGGAGAAAACTGAGGATGGATCAAGAACATTGTAGTTACCCCACAATACTAACCTACATGACGGAGTGAAAAGGAGGAAGGCTGTACAGAACACATTTTAAAACATGCATCCTGTTTGCAATAAGGAACTAAAAAAGATTGCAAAAGATGTGGCAAAGAACTTAACTTTATGTCCTGAATACAAAGCGTTATGTTTGGGGCAAATCCAACACAACACATCACTGAGTACCACTCTCCATATTTTCAAGCATGGGGGTGGCTGCATCATGCTTGTCATCAGCAAGGACAAGCCAAATCCTAGTGGAAAACCTGGTTCAGTCTGCTTTCCAACAGACACATTCACCTTTCAGCAGGACAATAACCTAAAACACAAGGCCAAATATACACTGGAGTTGCTTACTGAAAAACAACAGACTTTTCCTGAGTGGCCTACTGACTTAAATCGGCTTGAAAATCTATGGCAAGACTTGAAAATGGCTGTCTAGCAATGATCAACAACCAACGTGAAAAAAAGAATAATGTGCAAATATTGTCCAATCCAGGTGTGCAAAGCTCTTAGAGACTTACCCAGAAAGACTCCCAGCTGTAAAATGAGATTCTAACATGTATTGACTCAGGCATTACTTATGTAAATGAGATATTTATGTATTTAATTATCAATACATTTACTAAAATGTGGGGTATTGTGTGTAGATGGGTCATCTAGGCAAAGGGTGGCAATTTGAAGAATCTCAAATATAAAATATAGTTTGATTTGTTTAACACTTTTTTGGTTACTACATTATTCCATGTGTGTAATTTCATAGTTTTGATGTCTTCACTATTATTCTACAATGTAGAAAAAAGTAAAAATAAAGACAAATCCTTGAATAAGTAGGTGTTCTAAAACTTTTGACTGGTAGTCAAATTCAGGATTCAGGCTGTAACACAACAAAATGTGGAATAAGTCAAGGGGTATGAATACTTTCTGAAAACACTGTATTTACAGTTATTGAAAGACAAGGCAGAGTCCCAAATAGGCTATGACGCCTAAGCTGTATAAACCTGTCCCAGGTTTCAACTGCACCAGGGTAGTGCAGAATCACCTGCCAAGCGACAAGTGACGGAACCTGTTCCACAGGAGGAAATACCCCTTACTTCCGACTGTCCCTTCCGCAGAAATACTGTAGCATACCCATTCAAAACACACCAAACATTTAGAATAAACGATGCATTTATATCAAGATATTTATAGTTTATAGAGAGGTCAAACTATAAATGACAAATACACAGTTGAAACGGACTCAGAAATCCTAAACAAACACCTGGCAGCTACAGGTGCAGTCTAGTCACTGTCGGAATAGTCTGACTCATTACTAAATTAGAACAGCGGGTCATGCACCTGAAAAAAACGAAACACAACACCAACTCACCATTTAGAGGATTTTTTTGGATTCGTTTTCAGTAAATAAAAGTTAGTAAAATAGTTTCACCCTCGCACAGCGTGTCTGACAACTGAAAGAGCGCATAGCTGTCGTTGTTCCTCCAGAATGCTCACTCTGCCTTCCGAACTGAACGTTGGGAAACTCCTCCCTCTTGGACCCTGTGGGGAATAGCCCTGTGGAGGCTACGTCACCAGTTCTCTTTTTCTGGATTGGTTGTGTTCGAAAGGTGTACCGTAGTATAAAACAGAGGCGATCACTGTACCAGGCTAGGTCTATTAGCCTACTGATGCAAAATGAGCTAAATTAAAAGTGTTTAAAAAAAACATTGCCAGTGTGGCTACTGAGTGGTAGGCTAAAGGTTATTAAGCAGTTTTGCTTAATTGTTTTAGCATTTATAAACTTTTAATGTTCAGGCGTTTCCCAAGATATTTAAAAAAGTAGCCTAAAGAATCAATGAATGAATGTGTCACCTGACATGGTGTTATATAGGCTAGTGCGCTTGTTGTTCTTGGGGCAGCACTACACAAAACAAATTAACTAGAAGGCAAGTGACCTTTGTCTGTCGCATTTGGACTGGCCACAACTCAGCTGGCTTTGGAGAGCAGAGCACTTGAACATGAAAAGCAATGACTTTCTATCGCAATGTCGTCTGGTTTCTTATGATCATGTTGAAATATTAGTCGGTTTTGATGATCATCTGCAATTGTAAGGATATTACTCTTGCTGTAGGCTGTATGCTCATTTAGATCAATGTATGGCACTACCAGACACACACACACACACAACCCCTCTTGTAACTCACATTACAATAGTCCCATTGACAGATGAAGTGCCTTGTCATTTGAGGTTGGCTTCTCCTTCAGTCATACAATAGCTGACCCATTGTATAAGGTGTCACAGAAGAATCCTAGAACTTCAACACAATCTGACGGTTTTAGAGTGCACAGGAGGGTAATGTGGTGTTTGTGTTTTCATGATTTCATTGCAAAGAAGAAGACAATCTACTTCAACTTTGGGGTGGGATTGTTCTGATTTGGTTGCATTAGACAGAGGTGACATGGTGACTTCATGGATGGATTGATTGATTGGTGTGTTGTGTGTCCCAACAGGAGTGGCTATGAGCAAGCAGCTAAACTCATTGTGGCCAAGGAGCTGGATGTGGCCGTGGTAGGAAGCTAATAAAGGTATGGAACCAGAGATTGGTCAAGAAGGCAAACCCACCCTGCCTCTCTATACTGCTGTCATAGTCTACAGAAGCTATCTGGTTAAAAAAAAAGGCACTACGTTACCGAAACGTTGGTTATTAGGTTTACCCATTCAATTGTTGGGTGCAACTTTCTTTCTTTTTTTGAATAGGCTATAGAAGTATCATGATTCTGTTTTACCAACATCCCCTCTTTTGTTTGGCCAGGTGGTACAGTTCACATATACCAGGAACAAGGAGAGAGAGAGAGAGAGAGAGAGAGAGAGAGAGAGAGAGAGAGAGAGAGAGAGAGAGAGAGAGAGAGAGAGAGAGAGAGAGAGAGAGAGAGAGAGAGAGAGAGAGAGAGAGAGAGAGAGAGAGAGAGAGAGAGAGAGAGAGAGAATGTGTGTTTGTGAACTCAGCTATAAAGTTTGTGCTGAACTCAGCTTCCGTATAAAGAACTACATCTGACCATACTGCTTTATTGTATTACTTTAAATTACTTTTCATTCTAGGAAGTATACGTTCACCATCTGGATATGTCTGAGACACAAGGTCTGGGAGTTTGCTGAATCCTTCCAGATGCTATACCCCACCATCAAAGTGTTGCAGTGCACCGCACAGTCCATTTACACCACACAGTACATTTACTAACCTGCAATACCCCACCATCAGTGTTGCTAGGCTCCACACAGTACATTTACTAACCTGCAATACTTCACCATCAGTGTTGCTAGGCACCACACAGTCCATTTACTAACCACTCTTTTCAAAACTCCACTGTGGAATATTGAAGATATAGGACTTTTAAGAAGCAAAGTGTCATGGTGCTTTCAAGACAACTGGGAACTCGGGGGGAAAAAACTAGGTCAAATCATGACGCCAGTGATTTTCAAGTCGGAAAGTCTGAGCTCTTTTTACACAGTTGTCTTGGACACACTGAAGTCGGAAGTAGAAGATTTCAGAGTTTCCAGTTGTTTTGAACGCGGCATCACTTTCCACATCATGATGCTGTGGCAACTGACTGCTTCTTGAAAGTCCAATATCTTGAAAACTTGACTGCTGACATGCAAACCATTTTGGGACTGAATCAACAGTGGACTAATGAAACAAAAACCAAAATATAGTTTTTGAATGGATTTTTCCTTTAACTATTGAGGGGGTCAAGCCTGTTTCTCTTTGTTGGTTTAGATGAATAATGCTGGCTGTACAAGAGAGAGGTGAACGATGATGGTCTGGAGAATAACTTTAACACCAACACCTTGGGTAAGACTTTTACTGTCTGCACAAAGTCATCTATGATCTGAATAGGTTATCTTCCCTTCAGGAGTGTATGTTCTCGGCCAGAGCCTCATTCCACTACTGAAGAAGAGTAGGGACCCGAGGGTGGTGGGGACACACGCACAGACACACTGGCGCAGTAGACATAACAAACCAATGGTCTGGATATTGCTTGGGGCTATGCCATGGGAGTTTCTGCAATAAAAAATAAATATCTGTCAACATTGGCTCTTTTGTCCATTCTGGCATGGCCATCTACTGACTACCACCCTTTCACCCCCTGTTCTCTTCCTCTTTCCCCCAGATAAAGAGTCCTCTGTAGCGCAATTGGTAGAGCATGGCGCTTGTAACGCCAGGGTAATGGGTTCGATCCCCGGGACCACCCATACGTAAACATTTATGCGCACATGACTGTAAGTCGCTTTGGATAAAAGCGTCTGCTAAATGGCATATTATGTTATTATAACGGTGACATCAGGGGACGTGCTGGTCCAGAAGCTCCAGACTGATGACCTCCAGTCTGCCAAAGGTCCCTTTGATGGACCCATGGTCTAGGTAGAAGAGGAGAACAGGGTTCCAGGGAGACCTTGCCTTGGGGGTGCTTGGCTGTGTTACGTCAGTGGCTATAATAGTTTTATGTACAGCACACTACAAGATTGTATTCATCGCATTTACGTCATTTAGCAGACGCTCTTATCCAGAGCAACTTACACTCAAATAATGTATGAGTGCATACATTATTTTTATTTTTTTCATACTGGCCCCCCGTGGGAAACGAACCCACAACCCTGGCGTTGCAAGCGCCATGCGCTACCAACTGAGCTACACGGGACCATACAAATCTCAAAGTTGCTTAAGACTGTATTATATTGTATGACATGTTAGATACCTGTGTGATATGATCTAGTTAGTGAGGGAGAATCTCAATTGTATTTCCTTGATTCCTTGCATCCTCTTTTGTTGCTTCGAAACCCATTGGATGAGTTCCGTTCTTCCAAGGTGGGCACCAGTGTGTCTGTGTGTTTAGTACCAGTGGGAAGAGGCTCCCATAACATGTTTAATTGATTTTGCTTACATTTACTCATATTTATTTTATTCAATACTAGGGTTGAGCAGAAAATGCCAATACATTCCCTGCTACAGTTAATGCACATTGTAACACTTGCCGAAGGCCAATAGATTACATCACTGCAAACACTAATAACTGTAATGTCAGTGCCTGTGTAATCTCTATTGTGAACAGACTACGTAAACATAAATCTGACCAAATAACACAAGATTTTAGTTCTGGGTTAACCGAGATTAGTGCCTTTGTGTTTCAGATTGGCGGGCAGCCCCGGCCTACCTGCCCCTGGTCTCACAGTTCCCCTGAGGAGGTCTGGTCCTTCATGAATCAGCTGGAGAACCTGGCCCAGGCTGCAAAGCAGCCTCACACACAACCCAGTTTTGAACCAGCTTATTGAAAGATCTCGTGACCCACCGTATCAAGAAAACTAGCATTAGAAGTCGTCTAAAAGCTGTGACCCCAATGGAACCAAACACTCTTGCCCAATTCTAATACACAACCCAGTTTTGACCCAATCTATTGACCCAACCGCACCATATCAACATAGCTAGTATTTTCCAGTCTCAAGCTGTGAAACCAATGGAATCAAACACACACAACCATTTGATAAACTCTTTCTTACCTAAAGAACCAATTATAATACTAGCTGAATGATTCAGCTCTTACACTGAACAAAAATATAAACACAACATGCAAAAATGTAAGAGATTTTACTGAGTTACAGTTCATATAAGGAAATCAGTCAATTGAAATAAATTCATTAGGCCCTAATCTATGGATTTCACATGACTGGGAATACAGATATGCATATGTTGGTCACAGATACCTTAAAAAAAAAGTAGGGGCATATAATAATAATAATAATAATAATAATAATAATATGCCATTTAGCAGACGCTTTTATCCAAAGCGACTTACAGTCATGCGTGCATACATTTTTTTGTGTATGGGTGGTCCCGGGGATCGAACCCACTACCTTGGCGTTACAAGCGCCGTGCTCTACCAGCTGAGCTACAGAGGACCATACGGCATGGATCAGAAAAGCTGTCAGTATCTGGTGTGACCACCATTTGCCTTCATGCAGTGCGACATCTCCTACACATAGAGTTGATCAGGCTGTTGCCTGTGGAATGTCCCACTCCTCTTCAATGGCTGTGCAAAGTTGCTTGATATTGGCGGGAACTGGAACATGCTGTCGTACACGTCGATCCAGAGCATCCCAAAGATGCTCAATGGGTGACATGTCTGGTGAGTATGCAGGCCATGGAAGAACTGGGACATTTTCAGCTTCCAGGAATTTTGTACAGATCCTTGCGACATGGGGCAGTGCATTATCATGCTGAAACATGAGGTGATGGCGGCGGATGAATGGCACGTCAATGGACCTCAGCATCTCGTCATGGTATCTCTGCATTAGAATTGCCTTGATAAAATGCAATTGTGTTCGTTGTCCGTAGCTTATGCCTGCTCATACCATAACCCCACCGCCCCACTCTGTTCACAAGGTTGACATCAGCAAACTACTCGCCCACACGACGCCATCCACCCAGTTGAAACCGAGATGAATCCATGAAGAGCACACATCTCCCAGTGTGCCAGTGGCCATCGAAGGTGAGCCTTTGTCTACTGAAGTCGGTTACAACACCAAACTGCAGTCAGGTCAAGACCCTGGTGAGGACGACGAGCACGCACGTGAGCTTCCCTGAGACGGTTTCTTGTGCAGAAATTATTCGGTTGCGCAAACCCAATTTTGTAAGCTGTCCGGGTGGCTGGTCTCAGGTGAAGAAGCTGGATGTGGAGGTCCTGGGCTGGCGTGGTTACAGGATCTCTAGTGGCACAGCTAGCACTGCGATGCTGAGCCTTAGACCACTGCGCCACTCGGGAGGACACATATTAACATTAAATTCTCTGGCAACAGCTCTGTTGGACATTCCTGCATTCAGCATGCCAATTGCATGCTCCCTCAAAACATCTGTAGCATTATGTTGTGACAAAACTGCACATTATAGAGTGGGCCTTTGTCCCCAGCACAAGGTGCACCTGTAATGATCATGTTGTTTAATCAGCTTCTTGATATGCCACACCTGTCAGGTGGATGGATTATCTTGGCAAAGGAGAAATGCTCAGTAATAGGCATGTAAACATTTGTGCAATATTTGTTTGAGAAATAAGCTTTTTGTTCGTATGAAAAATTTCTGGAATCTTTTATTTCAGCTCATGAAACATGGGACCAACACTTTACATGTTCCGTTTGTATTTTTGTTCAGTGTAGAATCCCAACTTCCATTTACAGTGGGGGAAAAAAGTATTTAGTCAGCCACCAATTGTGCAAGTTCTCCCACTTAAAAAGATGAGAGGCCTGTAATTTTCATCATAGGTACACGTCAACTATGACAGACAAAATGAGGAAAAAAATTTTCCCAGAAAATCACATTGTAGGATTTTTCATTAATTTATTTGCAAATTATGGTAGAAAATAAGTATTTGGTCAATAACAAAAGTTTCTCAATACTTTTGTTATATACCCTTTGTTGGCAATGACACAGGTCAAACGTTTTCTGTAAGTCTTCACAAGGTTTTCACACACTGTTGCTGGTATTTGGCCCATTCCTCCATGCAGATCTACTCTAGAGCAGTGATGTTTTGGGGCTGTCGCTGGGCAACACGGACTTTCAATTCCCTCCAAAGATTTTCTATGGGGTTGAGATCTGGAGACTGGCTAGGCCACTCCAGGACCTTGAAATGCTTCTTACGAAGCCACTCCTTCGTTGCCCGGGCGGTGTGTTTGGGATCATTTTCATGCTGAAAGACCCAGCCACGTTTCATCTTCAATGCCCTTGCTGATGGAAGGAGGTTTTCACTCAAAATCTCACGATACATGGCCCCATTCATTCTTTCCTTTACACGGATCAGTTGTCCTGGTCCCTTTGCAGAAAAACAGCCCCAAAGCATGATGTTTCCACCCCCATGCTTCACAGTAGGTATGGTGTTCTTTGGATGCAACTCAGCATTCTTTGTCCTCCAAACACGACGAGTTGAGTTTTTACCAAAAAGTTCTATTTTGGTTTCATCTGACCATATGACATTCTCCCAATCCTCTTCTGGATCATCCAAATGCACTCTAGCAAACTTCAGACGGGCCTGGACATGTACTGGCTTAAGCAGGGGGACACGTCTGGCACTGCAGGATTTGAGTCCCTGGCGGCGTAGTGTGTTACTGATGGTAGGCTTTGTTACTTTGGTCCCAGCTCCCTGCAGGTCATTCACTAGGTCCCCCCGTCTGGTTCTGGGATTTTTGCTCACCGTTCTTGTGATCATTTTGACCCCACGGGGTGAGTTCTTGCGTGGAGCCCCAGATCGAGGGAGATTATCAGTGGTCTTGTATGTCTTCCATTTCCTAATAATTGCTCCCACAGTTGATTTCTTCAAACCAAGCTGCTTACCTATTGCAGATTCAGTCTTCCCAGCCTGGTGCAGGTCTACAATTTTGTTTCTGGTGTCCTTTGACAGCTCTTTGGTCTTGGCCATAGTGGAGTTTGGAGTGTGACTGTTTGAGGTTGTGGACAGGTTTCTTTTTTTACTGATAACAAGTTCAAACAGGTGCCATTTTCCTCAATTTGTGTACCTATGATGAAAATTACAGGCCTCTCATCTTTTTAAGTGGGAGAACATGCACAATTGGTGGCTGACTAAATACTTTTTTCCCCCACTGTAAGTCAAATGTTCACTTCAGTCATGCATTGATGTAAATGGGATTCACCCCTTGGTACTTTTCAGTGTGTTAAGGAAATGTAAGGCTTCATTCAGTATGTGACCAACAGCCATGGGCAATGAGAGGTGGTAGATAGCTCATTCATGATTGCTCATTTGACTCTTAAGCTAGAATCCTAGCTGAGGGATGGGCCTGGAGAAATGTAACCACTCAAATTCATAGACAGCTATGGATGCAAGGACTGACCATCCAGGATATCAACATTTAATTTATAACCATGTTGAGGCTATAGTGTTTGGTTGACAAAAATGAGTAAAACAAGCGTATATTTTGTGTTCTGATGGAGCACGACAGCTGAACTAAAGCTCATGAGGACATTTACAACTTATGTTCTTTAAGAATCAATGGGTAAAAATAAGTCACAAAAAATGGATGTAGCAACTAAGGATTCTAGCTTTAAGTATCCCTAACCTGTCCTCATTGTCTTTCATTGGTAATAAAGACCTTGGCCTTAAACACAGATTGTGTATATCCCTGTCTGAAACTTTCAGGACACAAGCGCAGACTTGTGAATTCAACGATTGTGTAGCTAGTGTTAGCCTGAAGGACAAGAAATAAAACCTCAATATTCAAGATTTTTTATTTATTTTTGTAGCAATCCACATTTGCTGTTTTGTTTTGTTTTTAATCATTCATTCTCATTTTTATACAGTATTGAAACCCCCCCCCCCCCCCCCCAAAAAAAAAGTGGTGCATTCACATCTTTCCCAAGGGATTCTTTAAGGTTGATCTCTACAAGGGTGAAACGGTGAAAAGCTGGAATCCATCCATGTTGAAATTCTCACAGGGAGCAAGAGGAGTAGTTGGCCTGATAAAAAAAAAAAAAAAAGTACAACACTTCATGTATTGTTTTTTTGTGTGTATGTTTTTTGTGCCATTTGCTTCTGTGTTTTGTCATTTTTGTAAAGGGAGGAGTCAGCTTCCCAGCATTTATCTTTTAAAAGGAACTTCCCAGTCCATGCGCACAACACTCCCCCCCCACCACCCCCCAAAAAAAACTCCCCTCAATCCATTTATCTCCTCTCCCACAACGCTCCTCTCCTCCTCTTATGCAACGTAGGTGTAGACTTTGCGGTCCTCAGGCGTCCGTGCCAAGTATTCTCTCTCTATTAGTCCTTCAATGCGCTTCTTAATGACCACGGGACTGGGGAGAAACCGGGCCCTCAGCTGCTGGGTAACCTGGAGAGATAAGAAGTACAATAATACTATTAGAATCTACACTATCGTGTCTCTGTTTCAACAGATTGTGCTGAAATGTCCTGTACTGAAATATGTGCCGAAATATCCAAGTTCTGAGGAATTGTGTATTTTCATGAAAAACCATAACATGATTGGTGAAAGAATAGCACAGAGATGATTGCCGGTACTCATGTTGCAAAAGTTGCCTCAAAGTACTCACTGAAATACTGTAGGGATAAACATTTCATATATAATTATTTTTTTAAGCAAAATATTATATTCAACCAAATTGACGCAGAAATTATCTAGACGCAGATTTTAATAATAAAAACGATCTTCCAAACCTGGCTGCACAGCAATGATTACCAACCCTACACATGCTATGAAGAGAGGGACTGAATGGACAACAGATAAAAATAAACCAGCTGGATAAGAGCCAATTTATGCTTGATCCGAAAATGTGGTCAGTGGCTTCATATGGAGGTTGTTGCAGAGCCTCCGGAGGAACGCAGAGGCCAAATTGAGCTCCGTACCACATCGCCGTGCGCCTCCCAAATGTTGTAACAATGCGGAGGTCTCTGCAAAGCTCCGCATTTACATGATTGGTTCACGGTAGGTGAGGGTGGGAGGTCCTGTATGAACACAAACTCACTTCCTTCACAACAGCTCTGCGCTGCTCCGCAAAGCGCTAGCAGGTTGAATGCCCTGACTTCTGCAGAGGCCGTATCACCGTAACTGCTGCACGGCCAATGCAGAAGACGGATTGGCCACGCAGCGCCTTTTAGTCTGAAATATTGACCAATGTGTGTTGTCCCTGTCAAATAAACCAAATGAAGTCTAGGGCAGTGACAGCTGTAGAGCTAAAGGCAGAGAGTTCTCTCCAGACCCTATGGGCCGGTTTCCCTAAAACAGATATATTGGACTAAAAACAGTTAATGGAAATTCTCCACTGAGCTAGTTTTTAGTCTAGGGCAAAAGTCCATCCTCCACCCTTTCTCCACCGTGACCCCAGAAACCGATAAGTGGTCGAGTAGATGGATGTCAATTCGTTAGTAGGCGAACGGAAGAGTCTCCTCCCCTCCTCTATAGCCACCTTTCATTGGAGGAGAGTCATGGGTATCCTACAAGTCTTTATTGGAAAGGTTTTGAAATCTGCCACACCCACTTTGAATCAGCTGTTGTTTTGTGGGAGGAGAAAAGCATGCATACGTTTAAAAACTACTTATCGTTTTAGCTATAAAATGCCTTGCACAACCAACTTCATTTGTTTTTTATCACTTTACACATTTATTTTGGGATCCACCCCTGTAAACGGAATTTGACTGATGACGCACGAGAGAAGGAGCTTCTCATATCATACAAGCGCATTTTTGTCCACTTTCTCTCTCCTCAATAAACTTTGACCTTTTTCAATAGGAGGCGAGAGACGACGCAGGAGTTGAGCAAATCCAATGGAGAAAAGGCCAGGACTAAGCTTATTCTGTGTCCAGGAAACAACCCATTTATGTCTATGATAGTTAAGGCCGCACCCACCTCTGCTACAGGACGTTAAGGCCGCACCCACCTCTGCTACCAGGACGTTAAGGCCCACCCACCTCTGCTACCAGGACGTTAAGGCCCACCCACCTCTGCTACCAGGACGTTAAGGCCGCACCCACCTCTGCTACCAGGACGTTAAGGCCCACCCACCTCTGCTACCAGGACGTTAAGGCCGCACCCACCTCTGCTACCAGGACGTTAAGGCCGCACCCACCTCTGCTACCAGGACGTTAAGGCCGCACCCACCTCTGCTACCAGGACGTTAAGGCCACACCCACCTCTGCTACCAGGACGTTAAGGCCACACCCACCTCTGCTACCAGGACGTTAAGGCCACACCCACCTCTGCTACCAGGACGTTGTGCTGCATCCTCTTCCTGGACTTCATGATGCGACATGGCCGCTCGATTCATGCTCCTGCGCGTCCACCTTTTGCCAGGTCCTTCTTAGGCCATCCCACCTTGCAGCAACTGAGGAGTTAGAGAGAGACAGCCACCTCATGTACAGGAAGTAGAGAGCACACAACCTCGTACCAGGGAGGTAGAGAGCACACCAACCTCGTACAGGAAGGTAGAGAGACAGCCACACCTCGTACAGGGAAGGTAAGGAGACAGCACCTCAGTACAGGAAGGTAGAGAGCACAGCACCTCATACGGAAGGAGTAAGGACAGCAACCTCAGACTAGGGCAGGGAGTGAAGGAGGGAGAACAGCAACCTCGCTACCAGGGAACGTAGAGAGCACACACACCTCAGTACCAGGAGGAGAGAGAGACAGCAACCTCAGTACAGGAGAAGGAGGGGGGCAACCTCAGTACAGAGGACGTAGGGGGGGCAACCACCTCGCTACACGGAGGGGGTGGGCGCAACCTCGTCCTGGACGAGGGGGGGGGGGCCACTCGATCAGTACAGCGGCACGGTGGGGGGCATACCTCATACAGGGGGGAGGGCGCAACCTCAGTACACGGAGGGAGGGGGGGGGCGGAACCTCAGTACAGGAGGAGGGGGGGCAACCTCAGTACACGGGGGGGGGGGGGGGGGGGGGCAACCTCAGTACACGGAGGGAGGGGGGGGGGGGCAACCTCAGTACACGGAGGGGAGGGGGGGGGGGGGCAACCTCAGTACACGGAGGGGGGGGGGGGGGCAACCTCAGTACACGGAGGGGAGGGGGGGCAACCTCAGTACAACGGGAGGGGGGGGGGGGGCAGGGGGGGGGGGGGACCTCAGTACACGGGGGGGGGGGGGGCAACCTCAGTACACGGGGGGGCAACCTCATACACGGGGGGGCAACTCAGTACAGGAGGGAGGGGGGGGGGGGGGCAACCTCAGTACACGGAGGGAGGGGGGGGGCAACCTCAGTACACGGAGGGAGGGAGGAGAGCAACCTCAGTACACGGAGGGAGGGAGGGAGAGCAACCTCAGTACACGGAGGGAGGGAGGGAGAGCAACCTCAGTACACGGAGGGAGGGGGGGGGCAACCTCAGTACACGGAGGGAGGGGGGGCAACCTCAGTACACGGAGGGAGGGGGGGGGCAACCTCAGTACACGGAGGGAGGGAGGGAGAGCAACCTCAGTACACTGAGGGAGGGAGGGAGAGCAACCTCAGCAGAGGGCCACGTTCAGTAGCCAAACATTGTCGAACATTGCAGATAGAAATGCCACAAATAGAGCCAATTATTTTGCAAAACTCGACATGTAAGAGGCATATTTGTTCTAAATAGCATATTTCTATCTGTGTGTCCTGCTGAACGCACCTCAGGTCATCAGGGCAAAATCAAAGGTCAACATTCACAGAGGTTAAATGAGCAATAGTAGAAGATGACCCTAACTGCATAAGCCTGCAGCTCCCCAGACCAGAGTGGGAGACCACTGTGATATGGGTCCTTTTATGATTTATAAAACCCATCTCATTAGACTAACAAAGACAGACAGACAGACTACACACACTCACCTGTCTGTATTTTGACTCTGTGCAGCTTAGAGGTAAACTGATCGTTGACTGTAAACACGTGGCCGTTCTCAATCTCCTTGGACTTGGGCTCCTTGGTGAGGACGCGCTGGGTGGGCTTCCCGCAGGCCAGCGACTGAAGCGCTCGCACCAGCTCCCTCTCCGGTATGTCTGTCTCCTGCTGGATCTCCTACAGTGGGGGAAGAGGGAAGGAGGAGGAGAGAGAGGGGGAGTGAAAGAGAAAGGGGGAGAGAGCGTAAAGGAGGAGGAGAGGGAGTGAAAGAGAAAGGGAAGCAGAGAACGGAGAGGAGGAAAGAAGATTTGTTTTTCCCACTTGCCACCTTTATCTGTGAATTCTAACACTTCCATGTGATTTAGACTGACAAGCCTGTACCTGTGTCTGGCTCTTACCTCGAACGTGGACTTTTCTCTGTTGTTGAAGAGTATGAGGATGGTCATCTGGAAGGTTGACACCTGCAGTATGTGTTTCCTGGTGTTAGAGCCGGTCACCTGGGCTCCTCCCACTCCTACCTCCGAACCATCCTCCTGAAGAGAGAGAGACAGAGAGAGTGACAGAGTGGAGACAGGTAGAAAGAGGTGGAGAAGGGTTAAGAGAAGAAAGGGAGAGTGGAGATGAAGAGAATGATAAATGTTTTTAAAAAGTTCAGCGCTTAACATACAACAGCTTAGGAAAGCTACAATTCATGTCATTCTGAGTAGGCCCTCCATCCCTTATTGCAGGCAGGGCCCTTTACCTTCTTGATGGGGCCGTGGAAGGTTGCGTTGAGGTCGGCTGAGCCCATGTGGTGCTGAAGGGTCAACTGTCTGCCGCTGTGTTTGGCCAAGTAGAACCTAACAGAAGATGTCGTCACTAAGTTAATGCCACAAGAATATACAGTACCAGTCAAAAGTTTGGACACACCTACTCATTCAAGGGTTTTTCTATCATTTTACATTGTAGAATAATAGTGAAGACATCACAACTATGAAATAACACATATGGAGTCATGTGGTATCCAAAAAAAAGTGTTAAACAAATCAAAATATATTTTATATTTGAGATTCTTCAAATAGCCACCCTTTGCCTTGATGACAGCTTTGCACACTTGGTATTCTCTCAACCAGCTTCACCTGGAATGCTTTTCCAACAGTCTTGGAGTTCCTTCATATGCTGATCACTTGTTGGCTGTTTTTCCTTCACTCTGCCGTCCGACTCATCCCAAACCATCTCAATTGGGTTGAGGTCGGGGTATTGTGGACGCCAGGTCATCTGATGCAGCACTCCATATCTTGGTAAAATAGCCCTTACACAGCCTGGAGGTGTGTTGGGTCATTGTCCTGTTGAAAAACAAATGATAGTTCCACTAAGCCCTAACCAGATGGGATGGCGTATCGCGGCAGAATGCTGTGGTAGCCATGCTGGTTAAGTGTGCATTGAATTCTAAATAAATCACAGACAGTGTCACCAGCAAAGCACCCCCACACCATAACACCACCTCCTCCATGCTTTACGGTGGGAACTACACACACAGAGATCATCCATTCACCCACACCGCGTCTCACAAAGACATGGCGGTTGGAACCAAAAATCTCCAATTTGGACTCCAGACCAAAGGACACATTTCCACCGGTCTAATGTCCATTGCGCGTGTTTTTTGGCCCAAGCAGGTCTCTTCTTCTTATTGGTGTCCTTTAGTACTGGTTTCTTTGCAGCAATTCGACCCACGGAGGCCTGATTCACATAGTCCCCTCTGAACAGTTGATGTTGAGATGTGTCTGTGATGAACTCTGTGTAGCATTTATTTGGGCTGCAATTTCTGAGGCTGGTAAATAACTCTAATGAACTTATCTTCTGCAGCAGAGGTAACTCTGGCTCTTCAAATCCTGTGGCGGTCCTCATGAGAGCCAGTTTCATCATAGCGCTTGATGGTTTTTGCGACTGCACTTGAAGAAACGTTCAAAGTTCTTGACATTTTCCGGATTGACTGACCTTCATGTCTTAAAGTAATAATGGACTGTCATTTCTCTTTGCTTATTTGAGCTGTTCTTGCCATAATATGGACTTGGTCTTTTACCAAATAGGGCTGTCTTCTGTATACCACCCCTACCTTGTCACAACACAACTGATTGGCTCAAATGCATTAAGAAGGAAATAAATTCCACAAATTAACTTTTAAGAAGGCACACCTGTTAATTTAAATGCATTCCAGGTGACTACCTCATGAAGCTGGTTGAGAGAATGCCAAGAGTGTGCAAAGCTGTCATCAAGGCAAAGGATGGCTAGCTGAAGAATCTCAAATATAAAATATATTTTGATTTGTTTAACACTTGTTTGGTTACTACATGATTCCATGTGTTATTTCATAGTTCTGATGTCTTCACTATTATTCTACAATGTAAAAAATAGTAAAAATAAATAAAAACCCTTGAATGTGTAGGTGTCCAAACTTTTGTGTAGGTGTCCAAACTTGTGGTCCTCTGTAGCTCAACTGGTAGAGCACGGCGCTTGTAACGCCAAGGTAGTGGGTTCGATCCCCGGGACCACCCATACACAAAAAAAAAAAAAATGTATGCACGCATGACTGTAAGTCGCTTTGGATAAAAGCGTCTGCTAAATGGCATATTATTATTATTATTATTATTATTTATTATTATTATTATTTTGACTGGTAGTGTATATTAAAAATGGACTGCACTGTGTAAGACAAATCTAATAGATAACAGATCCATCGATGAGGCTCAGAGGATGGCTCGTACCTTCTGAAGACCTCGAAGGCGTGTCTGGGGGAGGGGGGGATGGTGCATTTGGGCGTGGCCGACTGTGTGGGCCAATAGCCAGTGGTGAGCACTCTTACTGTGAGGTCGACGCCCCCTAGAGACACCTGGGAGAAATGGCAGTCACAGTCACAATGTGAAAAGGAGAACCAAGACACAAAACAGGAGTCCAGGGTTTATTACACAGAAACAAGAGATCAGACATGTTTTATATCAATGGCAGTTTTTCTTTGATGGAAATAGTAATTTTATAATATCTTATACCTGTTGACTGTTTGGGGTGTGTGTTGACAATGTGGACTGTTTGGGGTGTGTGTTAAACAAGTGGACTGTTTGGGGTGTGTGTTGACAATGTGGACTGTTTGGGGTGTGTTGACATGTGGGACTGTTGGGGTTGGGTGGACAATGTGGACGTTTGGGGTGTTGTGTGACAATGTGGACTGTTTGGGGTGTGTGTGACAATGTGGACTGTTTGGGGTGTGTGTTGACAATGGGACTGTTTGGGGTGTGTTTGACAATGTGGACTGTTTGGGGTGTGTGTTGACAATGTGGACTGTTTGGGGTGTGTGTTGACAATGTGGACTGTTTGGGGTGTGTGTTGACAATGTGGACTGTTTGGGGGGTGTGTGTTGACAATGTGGACTGTTGGGGTGTGTTGACAAGTGGGACTGTTTGGGGTGTGTGTTGACAATGTGGACTGTTTGGGGTGTGTGTTGACAATGTGGACTGTTTGGGGTGTGTGTTGACAATGTGGACTGTTTGGGGTGTGTGTTGACAATGTGGACTGTTTGGGGTGTGTGTTGACAATGTGGACTGTTTGGGGTGTGTGTTGACAATGTGGACTGTTAGGGGTGTGTGTTGACAATGTGGACTGTTAGGGGTGTGTGTTGTGAGTGGAGAGGTATAACACCCTCTTACCCCCGTGGACTGTAGGTGTTGTCTGAACTCGTCCATGGTGGTGTTGGAGATGCTCATGTCTCTGAACATCCCTTCCAGTTTAGAGGTGAACTGACAGCCACACTCGGTCTACACAGAGAAGACAGCACAGCGAGTCACAGCACAGCGAGTCACAGCACAGCGAGTCACACAGCACAGCGAGTCACACAGCACAGCGAGTCACAGCGAGTCACAGCACAGTGAGTCACACAGCGAGTCACACAGCACAGCGAGTCACAGCGAGTCACAGCACAGTGAGTCACACAGCGAGTCACACAGCACAGCGAGTCACACAGCACAGCGAGTCACACAGCACAGCGAGTCACACAGCACAGCGAGTCACACAGCACAGCGAGTCACACAGCACAGCGAGTCACAGAGCACAGCGAGTCACACAGCACAGCGAGTCACACAGCACAGCGAGTCACACAGGTTCAGGGATGGGACCAGCACAATATGGAAAACCAGGTCAAACGGCTACCAGTCCATTCTAATGCTTAGATAGAGATGTAAGATAGTCAAGAACATCCTAAATTCCTGATTAATAATACAAAAAAGTAATAATCATAAATTAATTAGTAATATATTGGATTTCAAATGTCAATGTCTAATTGACAGCAGACTTGACTCGCCCTCTCCTCACCTTGAGCTTGGAGATCATATTCTTCTCAGAGTCGTCAGAGACGCTCTTGTTGGTGAGCAGCCTCCTGGCTAGGTGCTGTTTGTAGTATCTCTCAAACACATCCTTCTCCTGCATGAACCGGAACAGCACCATGGCCTTGTCCAGGATGGACTCCACCTCCTGCTCTGTCAGCTGGAGACCCAGACAGACAGACAGACAGTTAGGATACTGGTTTGAATAGTTTCCCTTTATTCTCAATAAAATAGTGTTTTTATGTTAATGATCCAAAAAGGACTTGAGAAAAAAGTGTGGTTCTGGCCAGAGCCACGTCTGTATGTGGTTCCGGCCAGAGCTAGTGCACTATGCGGAGGGCAGGGTACCACATGAGATTAGTCCATTGAAGTGTAGCAATATAACATTTAGCAGGTTGAACACTTCAATGACGTACTCCTTTGACTCCCTTCTTGAGCTTGTCGTCGATGAAGAGGGAGAGGTATTCTGGGGAGCGGGAGTTGAGGTTAAGGAAGTACTCAAAGTCTCCGGCGATAGTCTGCTTGAAGAGCCGGTCGTTGTTGAACGACTCCAGGAGGAAGCGGTCGAACCGCGTCTTTAGGTCCAACAGGCCCTATAGGAGAGAGAAACAAATCCAACTTTATTTAAAGGGAATTAAAATCACAGCACACTTTACAATAAGTAATAACACACACAGATACTATTAGATTCCAAGTGGTTTACGCGTTAACTCTTGGAGGTGCCCTAAAAAGGTAACCCTAAAAAGAGTGGGCTGGAACCTTAGCTTCAATGCTTATGAGGGTAGTTACCTATGTTACTATTTCAAACTCTTTAGATTTTACACTTTCAGTCTTTAGTTCTTTCTGGTCAGGAAATACTCTGCGCCCTGATTGTTCTGGGTATGTTCTGAGAATAAAAGATGCCGGACAATCTTTGATTGGAGGTTAGGCCCAGCGTACCTGGATATAGTCGACAGGGTTCTTGCCCTCACCCTCCTCTGACACCAGAGCCTTTCCCTGCTCCCTCAGGTAGGAGCTCATACACTCACACATGGTCTTCAGGCCGTTAGGCACACGGCTGAACAGCTTGTACATGCAGCCCAGGTCTGGAGAGGAAGAGAGGGAGGAGGAGAGGAGAGAAAGAGAGGGGGGAGAGGAAGAGAGAGGGGGGAGAGGAAGAGAGAAAGCGATAGAGAGGGGGAGAGGAAGAGAGAGGGGGAGAGGAAGAATGAAAGGAAGAGAGAGGGGGACAATGAGAGGAAGATGGAGAATAGATTAGTTATGAAGGAAGTTCAAACCAATACACAGATTTACAGTCAGAACTTGACATTGGTTAAGATGTCAAAGATGCACTGGCTCTGCCTGTCTGTAATTCACATTGGTTTAAGATGTGAAAGACACAGAAATACAGACAGGCAGAGCCAGTGTGTCTGGTTTGCCACGGTTTCAGAGTTAATCTGTGAGGTAACTATGCAGAGCTCAAGAAATGCGTTTGAAGCTAATTCCGGTCAAGAAAATGAACTGACGTGAACCAGTAAATGCCTGGGTGAGTGAGAGTGAACTTATTTGACTCTACGATTTGATAATGAACAACAGGAGGGTTTAATTCTGTCAACTCATCTATAATAGGTCTTGTAACATCTAGTATTTGTATTTCTAACTGATAGTATGACATCTAGTGGCCATTTTGGGTACGTCAGCTTACCACAGGTGTCTGTAATTATCTCTGGCTCTCTGTGTGGCCTTCTGTCCCACTACTGTTTGTGGAGATATGCTCTGATGGTCGACTGATCGAAAGCTCAGCTATAATTAAAATAAATGTGGATCTGACTGGAAGTGTGCAGAGATTTTTTCCTGTTTCTCCAGTTTTATCTTTTGCCTCCAGCAGCTTCACTAATCAGCTTTGGGTATTTGGTAGATTCTTCCTAATTGACTGCGGTTACACAGGCAACCCATTCTCAGATCTTTTGCCACTTATTTTCATATCTGATCCCCATCTTATCTTTTACCAAATGTATAAAACAGCAACAACAAAACAGCTCGGGGCGGCAGGTAGCTTAGTGGGTAAGAGCGTTGTGCCAGTAACCGAAAGGTCGCTGGTTCTAATCCCCGAGCCGACTAGGTGAAAAATCTGTCGATGTGCCCTTGTGCAAGGCACTTAACCCTAATTGCTCCTGTAAGTCGCTCTGGATAAGAGCGTCTGCTAAATGACTAAAATGTTAAATGTAAATACATGGAATCTGATCTTTTGACTTCAGATTTATACCACATCCATATGTGGCCTCATTTGTTTGCTCTATAGTGTTTGTGTGCGCACATGACTTGCCATTATCATGACAACCACCCCAACATTTTAACGAACAGTGACAGGAAATGAGCGTTTCATCTGTGTGCTACTTCAGAGGCTACATCAGTGTGAATGTACAAAGCTGATATGGGTCACATGTAAAACTGAGTGTGGACAGTCCAAAAAAAGAGATTGGATATGGGAAAAAAATATCTGAATTGTGTTCCTTGGCTGGCTGTGTAAACATAGCCATGTATACAATCATCTCATGCCAGATCATGTTCAATATTTTAAACAAACACTTGGATCTACTTAATAAGCTAGAAACCAGACAGGCTGATATTGAGGTGCCCTGTTTTATCAACACTGGCAACAGCAACGAACCCATCTCACCTACAGTGAGCCCAACCCCTTCCTGGAATGACTGGTTTCAAATCTTATATTCCCAAAGCTTTTTAAAACTATGCCTCTTACTAACATTTTAGTCATTTTAGCAGACGCTCTTATCCAGAGCGACTTACAGTTAGTGAGTGTATACATTTTCATACTGGCCCCCCGTGGGTATCGAACCCACAACCCTGACGTTGCAAACGCCATGCTCTACCAACTGAGCTACACGGGACTAACACTTTTTGAGTTATTTTGTGACCCACCATGTTAACACAACTCATGCTTCCAGCTTGGACAGTTTGAAGCCATGACCCAAAAATAAGAATCTTATGGCGAGGTCTGGAGACCCATTGATTAACCCTGGATAACATGCCTATGTCCGGACAACCTTTTTACATGAAAATCACCCACAGTCCAGGGCCCATTTGTTTACAAAGTCTCAGAATAGGAATGCTGATCTAGGATACGTTTTCCCTTTTAGACCCTAGTGAAAAATATTATATGAACAGGAGGACCTGATCCTAGGTCAGCAAACCTACTCTGAGATGCTTTTTGAAAAAGGCCCCAGGTCTCCTGAAATAAGTTCTCATAAATCTGGATTCTAACTGAATTCAGTCTTAATCCGTTGCCTGTAAAACAAGCCTGTTTTCCTTGTTTACCTTCTGTCTTGCCATTCTTGAGCATGTGGACCAGGCCAGAGTTCTCCATCTCCACGATGGTCTTCATGTGTTTGGAAATGAGCTCCCGCTCCACCACCTTGACGATGGGCTCCTCTGTGGACTTGTCCAGGCAGTGTAACACCCGCTCTATCTCCTCGTTGATCCTGGCCTCCACCTTCTTGATGTACACACTGGCACTGTTCTCCGCTAGGAACTTCTGGCTCTCCATCTGAGGGGGTAGAACAGGGTATGGTTTGAGGAGGGGGTAGAACAGGGTATGGTTTGAGGAGGGGGTAGAACAGGGTATGGTTGAGATGAGGTATTTCAGATACAGAACAAACCGGAAGTTGGAGGTTGATAGAGCAATACCATTTTATATAAAAAACAAAAGCATTTTTATTAAATGTGGACAATTGTTGAGGAGCACAAAATTACATGAACTGATGGGCTTCCACTCATGAAAAGGATTTGCATGACCACAAACAAAGATATGTCCCCTATATTGTGGAACATTGCTATATGGGGTTGGATGAGGATAGTGAGGAGCTCCAATGACTTAATGCATCTTAACGTTTTGCAATAGCTTGGTTACGTGTTTTTAGCATCCATGACAACGCCATAAAAACAATCTCAGCAGTCATAATGACTTGACAAAAAAAAGACAGCATGTAAAAAGCTGCCCAACCCACCTGGAAGAATTCTGCAGACATTTCTAAGAAGGGGGACTCAAAGTCTTCCTCGTACACAGACCTGCCCTCCAGGCCGAGAATCATCAGCATCTGACAGGCGTTCCTGATCGCTCCCCTGTACAAACACAAGGAATAAACATAGGATATAGATTTTTTTGTTGTTGATAGATTTTTCTTTAAAGAGATAAAAACATATGATAGGATTAAGAGTTTTATGACTCCTTAAAAACAACCACATTGGTTTTTTCAAAAGAGGTAACATTGAGTAAAACCCATTTGCCAGAGTGGTCATTAATGTAGTAGGCTAAGCTGTTAATCTCCCAAGTTGAAAGGTCAGTTCTCTGTGAATAGAATGTGCTACTGCCCTTATCATAGGCCTACATAAAAAAAACAGCCAAAGAAAAAGATGGAGTGGTTTCAGGGGCTTAAACCTCACAGCCAGCCATTGTCCCCCAGGACATTGCCTTTATTCACCAGCCTCACCAAATACCCCCTACCTGATAAACAGTGGCAGGGCCTGTATTCACAAAGCATTGAGTAGGAGGGCAGGCGTTCCTGATCCCCCCCCCCCCCCCCCCGAGTCTTATTCATCATGATTGGAAAGGCACAACTGATCCTAGATCAGCACTAATACTCTGAGACACTTTGTGAATAGATACAGGTCTTTCTTTTGTTAGACAGATCCCAGAACAGTCCTTACCTGTCCACCACCTCTCCCTTCCTCTCGCGTGCGATCATGTCCAGCAGGGTCTGGCGCAGGTGGTCTCGGATGCAGCCGTAGCGCACCACCTGGTCTCTGAAGATGATCAGGCCCAGGTTGTAGACGTTCTCCACGTTGTTTTGCTGCACGTACACCCGGTCCTGGAGCCAAGCAGAGTACAACATGTTAGAGTGGTAAGTTAGAATGAAACACATTTGAATACTTTATTGTCCTCCGAAGAGTAAATTCTTTGCACAGTTACACAAATGAAAAATTCAGGAACAGGTAAGGACTCCCAAAAGTTATATTTTTTGCTTTGAAAAGCCATATGATACCCGACAGGCTGGTCTGCTTGGTACTTGGTTAGACTCACCAATAGAAATCTATATACAGTGAGGGAAAAAAGTATTTGATCCCCTGCTGATTTTGTACGTTTGCCCACTGAAAAAGAAATGATCAGTCTATAAATTTTTAATGGTAGGTTTATTTGAACAGTGAGAGACAGAATAACAACAAAAAAATCCAGAAAAAAACGCATGTCAAAAATGTTATAAATTGATTTGCATTTTAATGAGGGAAATAAGTATTTGACCCCCTCTCAATCAGAAAGATTTCTGGCTCCCAGGTGTCTTTTACACAGGTAACGAGCTGAGATTAGGAGCACACTCTTAAAGGGAGTGCTCCTAATCTCAGTTTGTTACCTGTATAAAAGACACCTGTCCACAGAAGCAATCAATCAGATTCCAAACTCTCCACCATGGCCAAGACCAAAGAGCTCTCCAAGGATGTCAGGGACAAGATTGTAGACGTACACAAGGCTGGAATGGGCTACAAGACCATCGTCAAGCAGCTTGGTGAGAAGGTGACAACAGTTGGTGCGATTATTCACAAATGGAAGAAACACAAAAGAACTGTCAATCTCCCTCGGCCTGGGGCTCCATGCAAGATCTCACCCCGTGGAGTTGCAATGATCATGAGAACGGTGAGGAATCAGCCCAGAACTACACAGGAGGATCTTGTCAATGATCTCAAGGCAGCTGGGACCATAGTCACCAAGAAAACAATTGGTAACACACTACGCTGTGAAGGACTGAAATCCTGCAGCGCCCGCAAGGTCCCCCTGCTCAAGAAAGCACATATACAGGGCCGTCTGAAGTTTGCCAATGAACATCTGAATGATTCAGAGGAGAACTGGGTGAAAGTGTTGTGGTCAGATGAGACCAAAATCGAGCTCTTTGGCATCAACTCAACTCGCCGTGTTTGGAGGAGGAGGAATGCTGCCTATGACCCCAAGAACACCATCCCCACCGTCAAACATGGAGGTGGAAACATTATGCTTTGGGGGGGGGGGGGGGGGGGGGGGGTTTCTGCTAAGGGGACAGGACAACTTCACCGCATCAAAGGGATGATGGACGGCGCCATGTACCGTCAAATCTTGGGTGAGAACCTCCTTCCCTCACCAGGGCATTGAAAATGGGTAGTGGATGGGTATTCCAGCATGACAATGACCCAAAACACACGGCCAAGGCAACAAAGGAGTGGCTCAAGAAGAAGCACATTAAGGTCCTGGAGTGGCCTAGCCAGTCTCCAGACCTTAATCCCATAGAAAATCTGTGGAGGGAGCTGAAGGTTCGAGTTGCCAAACGTCAGGCTCGAAACCTTAATGACTTGGAGAAGATCTACAAAGAGGAGTGGGACAAAATCCCTTCTGAGATGTGTGCAAACCTGGTGGCCAACTACAAGAAATGTCTGACCTCTGATTGCCAACAAGGGTTTTGCCACCAAGTACTAAGTCATGTTTTGCAGAGGGGTCAAATACTTATTTCCCTCATTAAAATGCAAATCAATTTATAACATTTTTGACATGCGTTTTTCTGGATTTGTTTGTTGTTATTCTGTCTCTCACTGTTCAAATAAACCTACCATTAAAATGATAGACTGATCATGTCTTTGTAAGTGGGTAAACGTAAAAAAAATCAGCAGGGGATCAAATACTTTTTTTCCCCTTGGGGAGAACAAGTGTTTGATACACTGCCGATTTTGCAGGTTTTCCTACTTACAAAGCATGTAGAAAGTTTTCCTACTTACAAAAATCCAGAAAATCACATTGTATGATTTTTAAGTAATTAATTTGCATTTTATTGCATGACATAAGTATTTGATACATCAGAAAAGCAGAACTTAATATTTGGTACAGAAACCTTTGTTTGCAATTACAGAGATCATACGTTTCCTGTAGGTCTTGACCAGGTTTGCACACACTGCAGCAGGGATTTTGGCCCACTCCTCCATACAGACCTTCAGGTTCAGGGCTGTCGCTGGGCAATACGGACTTTCAGCTCCCGCCAAAGATTTTCTATTGGGTTCAGGTCTGGACACTGGCTAGGCCACTCCAGGACCTTGAGATGCTTCTTACGGAGCCACTCCTTAGTTGCGCTGGCTGTGTGTTTCGGGTCGTTGTCATGCTGGAAGACCCAGCCACGACCCATCTTCAATGCTCTTACTGAGGGAAGGAGGTTGTTGGCCAAGATCTCGCGATACATGGCCCCATCCATCCTCCCCTCAATACGGTGCAGTCGTCCTGTCCCCTTTGCAGAAAAGCATCCCCAAAGAATGATGTTTCCACCTCCATGCTTCACGGTTGGGATGGTGTTCTTGGGGTTGTACTCATCCTTCTTTTCCTCCAAACACGGTGAGTGGAGTTTAGACCAAAAAGCTATATTTTTGTCTCATCAGACCACATGACCTTCTCCCATTCCTCCTCTGGATCATCCAGATGGTCATTGGCAAACTTCAGGGGCCTGGACATGCGCTGGCTTGAGCAGGGGGACCTTGCGTGCGCTGCAGGATTTCAATCCATGACGGCGTAGTGTGTTACTAATGGTTTTCTTTGAGACTAATGGTTTTCTTTGTGGTCCCAGCTCTCTTCAGGTCATTGACCAGGTCCTGCCGTGTAGTTTTGGGCTGATCCCTCACCTTCCTCATGATCATTGATGCCCCACGAGGTGAGATCTTGCATGGAGCCCCAGACCGAGGGTGATTGACCGTCATCTTGAACTTCTTCCATTTTCTAATAATTGCGCCAACAGTTGTTGCCTTCTCACCAAGCTGCTTGCCTATTGTCCTGTAGCCCATCCCAGCCTTGTGCAGGTCTACAATTTTATCCCTGATGTCCTTACACAGCTCTCTGGTCTTGGCCATTGTGGAGAGGTTGGAGTCTGTTTGATTGAGTGTGTGGACAGGTGTCTTTTATACAGGTAACGAGTTCAAACAGGTGCAGTTAATACAGGTAATGAGTGGAGAACAGGAGGGCTTCTTAAAGAAAAACTAACAGGTCTGTGAGAGCCGGAATTCTTACTGGTTGGTAGGTGATCAAATACTTATGTCATGCAATAAAATGCAAATGAATTACTTAAAAATCATACAATGTGATTTTCTGGATTTTTGTTTTAGATTCCGTCTCTCACAGTTGAAGTGTACCTATGATAAAAATTACAGACCTCTACATGCTTTGTAAGTAGGAAAACCTGCAAAATTGGCAGTGTATCAAATACTTGTTCTCCCCACTATATATATATATACACTATCCAAATACAAGAGAATAATAAGACATATGGCTGAAATCTCAGTTCTGGTTTTATTACCAAAATAACAATAAATCATCATCATCCCATTTCGTCAACCAGTGACCACACAGCCTACCTACCTACATACTGTACAAAACAAAACCATTTCCCCTCTAATTAGTTCCTCTCTACACAGAGCTCAGCCTAGAGGCAGACTGCACCTAGCACTGAGCAGGCCAGGCAGCTAACTGCTGCTGCAGCTGAGCAATACAAGACCCAGGACCCAGGGGAAAGGTGAAACTTCCTTCCTTTGAAACGTTTGCGAGTGTAACGTTTACTGTTAATTTCTGATTGTTTATTTCACTTTTGTTTATTATCTATTTCACTTGCTTTGGCAATGTAAAACATATGTTTCCCATGCCAATAAAGCCCTTTGAATTGAATTCAGGAGAGAGAGGGGGGAGGAGAGAGAGAGAGCCCTTTGAATTGAATTGAGAGGGGTGGGGGGGAGGCGAGAGAGGGGAGAAGGAGAGAGACAAACAAAATAATCCCCTGAGAGAATTCTGCAGTCTCAATAGCGGCTGTGCCACTGTATTGGCCCCTCACCTCCTCTCATACAGTACACACAGACGCTTGGCCTTACCGTTACAGTAAATCAAGTAGAGTTGCCACTAGTTGCCCAACAAACTGGAGAAATAAAACAGAAGCTGTTTGTTCTGCCCAACTACAAGGCTGGGCCCGCCCAACCCCAGCTATGACGTGTAGTTGAGGAGAGTCTGCCAGGGTCATTCTTTCATAAGAGAAAACTATTATTTACACTTCAGGGAAACCACTGGAGACAAAACACTAAACTGGAGATAAAACTCTACAGCTTTCTGGAGACGCAATACTACTGATTAGACCTGTGTGGGGTTAAAAGGACATCTGGAGAATCATTCAGGACTGACATTTCGGGAATTCTGCAGATTCTTTACTAGTTAGTGACCTTCATTCATCAATCAAGTACAAGGGTGGGGCTAAAACCCGCAGACACTCGGCCCGCCGTGGAATGAGTTTGACGTGAACTAGACATAAAGCAGGCCACCTACCATGTACATGAGGATGTCTCTGATCATGACCATGGCCGTCTGGTGGTCGTTCCACGCTTGATTCAAAGTTTGCAGAAAGTTATTGTTTAACGAGTTTAGGACATCTTCCCGTACCTGTGGAAAGACATAAGATAAGAATTGATAGACAGAAGCTATATCTTTGCTAAGACTAAAAAAAAGTTGCCTGTAGACACTGATCCAAGGTAATTACGCAATAGGGCACCTTGGGGGTTTGTGGTATATTTACATACTTTTTTTATGGGGGGTGGGGGAGGGGTAGAAGGATTACTTTTATACTATTCCAGGTATTCCTTAAAGAGGTAGGGTTTCAAGTGTATGTCCACATGTTGTCAGTCCCCAGCTGTTCTAACACAGAGCCCTGGGTTGACGTTGCCCATAGGTACAGATCTAGGATCAGTTTATCCAATCTCATTCCTAACTTATACCATTAGGTTGGAAACTGATCCCCCAAAAAATATAAACTAGGTGGTTCGAGCCCTGAATGCTGATTGGCTGACAGCCGTGGTATATATATATATATATATACCATGGGTATGACAAAACAATTATTTTTACTGCTCTAATTATATTGGTAACCAGTTTATAATAGCAATAAGGCACATCGGGGGTTTGTGGTATATGGCCAATATACCACGGCTAAGGGCTGTTCTTAGGCACGACGCATTGCAGAGTTTCCAACCTAATGGTATAAGTTAGGAATGAGATTGGATAAACTGATCCTAGATCTGTACCTATGGGCAACGTCAACCCAGGGCTCTGTGTTAAAACAGCTGGGGACTGACAACATGTGGACATACAGGTTATGACCCCAGCTGTCTGGTCTGCTGTATGCTAAATGTTATATTCATGAGAGGAGGCGATACCAAATGCTAAATTCCAGTGCAGACCAGCAGGTGGTTCATATGAATTAGCCTAGTCCCCAGACAGAATACACTGCTACAGCCATACTAATAAATCACAACAGTTCTATCAAGTTTGTCTGTCTGGTTCTGTTTTGAGTGTGGTCAGTTTTCATGCAGGCTATATGGCTCTGATCTATCATCCTTCTATCTATATTTTAGCTGAACAGTGGTGTGTGTGTGTGTGTACAAGTTCCCTGCTGATTTTGCATATCAAATTGTGTGCTTTACAAAAGGTGAACATTACAGCCAAGGCCAGGAGTTTCTCTTGACCACATGGTTACGTGACCAGGAGAAACTCCTGGGCCTAATTCGCTGTGAAAGTCAACACCTATTCAGATTTACTTCCGTACCCAAACCATTCTGATTGGGATTCAAGATTATATAAATCAAATTCATGAAAGAGGGTTAATTTAAGATATATACACTACCGGTCAAAAGTTAACACACCTACTCATTCAAGGGTTTTTATTTTTTTAATTTTTTTTACTATTTTCTACATTGTAGAATAATAGTGAAGACATCAAAACTATGAAATAACACATATGGAATCATGTAGTAACCAAAAAAGTGTTAAATAAATCAAAATATATTTTATATTTGAGATTCTTCAAATAGCCACCCTTTGCCTTGATGACAGCTTTGCACACTCTTGGCATTCTCTCAACCAGCTTCATGAGGTAGTCACCTGGAATGAATTTCAATTAACAGGTGTGCCTTCTTAAAAAGTTAATTTGTGGAATTTCTTTCCTTCTTAATGTGTTTGAGCCAATCAGGTGTGTTGTGACAAGGTAGGGGTGGTATACAGAAGACAGCCCTATTTGGTAAAAGACCAAGTCCATATTATGGCAAGCACAGCTCAAATAAGCAAAGCGAAACGACAGTTCATCATTACTTTAAGACATGAAGGTCAGTCAATCCGGAAAATATCAACAATTTTGAAAGTTTCTTTAAGTGCAGTCGCAAAAACCATCAGGCGCTATGATGAAACTGGCTCTCATGAGGACCGCCGCAGGAATGGAAGACCCAGAGTTACCTATGCTGCAGAGGATAAGTTCATTAGAGTTACCAGCCTCAGAAATTGCAGCCCAAATAAATGCTTCACAGAGTTCAAGTAACAGACATCTCAACATCAACTGTTCAGAGGAGACTCAGGCCGTCATGGGTCGAATTGCTGCAAAGAAACCACTCCTAAAGGACACCAACAAGAAGACACTTGCTTGGGCCAAGAAACACGAGCAATGGACATTAGACTGGTGGAAATGTGTCCTTTGGTCTGGAGTCCAAATTGGAGATTTTTGGTTCCAACCGCCATGTCTTTGTGAGACGCGGTGTGGGTGAACGGATGATCTCGGCATGTGTAGTTCCCACCATAAAGCATGGAGGAGGTAGTGTTATGGTGTGGGGGTGCTTTGCTGGTGACACTGTCTGTGATTTATTTAGAATTCAAGGCACTCTTAACCAGCATGGCTACCACAGCATTCTGCAGCGATACGCCATCCCATCTGGTTTGGGCTTAGTGGGAAAATCATTTGTTTTTCAACAGGACAATGACCCAACACAACTCCAGGCTATGTAAGGGCTATTTTACCAAGAAGGAGAGTGATGGAGTGCTGCATCAGATGACCTGGCGTCCACAATCCCCCGACCTCAACCAAATTGAGATGGTTTGGGATGAGTCGGACGGCAGAGTGAAGGAAAAGCAGCCAACAAGAGCTCAGCATATGTGGGAACTCCTTCAAGACTGTTGGAAAAGCATTCCAGGTGAAGCTGGTTGAGAGAATACCAAGAGTGTGCAAAGCTGTCATCAAGGCAAAGGGTGGCTATTTGAAGAATCTCAAATATAAAATGTATTTTGATTTGTTTAACACTTTTTTGGTTACTACATGATTCCATATGTGTTATTTCATCAGTTTTGATGTCTTCACTATTATACTACAATGTAGAAAATAGTAAAAATAAAGAAAACCCCTTGAATGAGTTGGTGTTCTAAAACTTCTGACCAGTAGTGTATATATATACAATTATATTGTGATTGTGGATTAATTTACTTTTGCCAAATGCCTCTTATGAAGGTTTTCAATTGCATTCACAGGTTTTTGCGTTTGAAGACCATAAGAAACAAAACTACAAAGCGTGAGGGACGGTCACTTTCACAGCGTATTATGGGAAATTATTTATAGAAAATAAACAGTGGTGCATTGTGGGAGGCGTAGTCCTTTACTTTGTTGATGAGGTGCTCGGTGACGACCTGGCGCAGGCCCGTGTAGAGCTTCTCGCCGTGCTTATGCAGCACCATGGTGTAGGCATTCCTGTAGAGCTCCTCGAAGCTCAGCCCGCTGTTGTTCTTCCTCTGGATCTCCTGGATGGCGTTCTTCAGAAGGTCCCAGATGTTGTTGACATACTTCTCGTCCATCGTCATCTAGGAGAGAGAATAGGACACAATGAATTAACAATGACAACGGAACAGTTCGACCCTTTTCGCCTGTGTCCGTTCATTCTTGGTAAGGATTGTTTCCTCATTCTGCAAATCTGAACAGATTACATCTTTGTCAATTGATATGACAGCAGTGCACAGCTGTTGGTAATTCATTAGAGGTTGCTATCGGGTAAGAACAACGATGGAAGTTTATAAGGATCGTACAGTGTTTTATACAGTCTCAAAGTTGTTTTGGTAAGGCTATGATCGACGACTCACCCACAAGCTGGCCCTGCACCTAGTATGCATTTTTGTGATTTGCGTGAGGATTTGAAACCTAAAAATGTTGTACGAGCTTGCTTTGATAAACCGCAGGAGGCAGAGGCTGCTAGGGCCTAAAACTAGAGTGAGTGTTTAGCCCATTATGACTTCACAGTGACTCAATCATGGCGGTTGAAGCACACCTTGTCTGGACACATTTGAAACAAAGAGACAACGCCATCGGCCTTTAATTAGGGATGTCTGTGTTGCTCATTGGCAGAGAGATGGTAGGGGTTGGTGCAATAGGAAATCAAGTGACTAGGTTAATTGTAGTCAGAACATCTGTATTAGGAATATTGTGTAGGTTGTGATGGTACAACACACGATCAGTTAACTATAAATATATTTATTTAAATTAGGGATTTTTATTATACAGATAATCTCAAAGACACTTAAAAACAAAAGTACATGTAGTTCTTGGGCGGGACAATGGTCTTCAACAGAGGCTGACGTGTCCAGGTCACATCCACTCCAGTGGGTTATAAATAGCATGATCTAGGTCTAAGCCTAGGTGTTTTTTTAAAGTATTGGTAATTATCAATAGTAGAATGTACATAGCAGTAAATTATATATTTGCCTGCATTAGCCTACATGAAAATCATAATCTATGACTTTATTAATGCAGATATGGTCTGTCACTACAACAAAGTGAACAAACCAGTGGAGTTATTTTGCTAGCCTGCCCGCATAAACACAGAATTCATTAATGAGAGAATTTGTTTGGGGAAAGCATCTGGTCTTTCACTAGGCAGGTGCAGAAGAATGGAAAATTCCAAGATGAGGTGAGGGGGAAAAAAATATGCTGTCAATAAAATAAAAATCAACTACAGATATGATTCTGATTAAAATTCAGGTGGGCAGAGCAGAGGCGCCAAGGTGAACTAGTATATTTGCCCCTTTGCCTATTAGTATGACGACAGCTTAGCTAGCTATCAAACCCTGTCAACATGGCCATTCTTTTGGCCATTCAAACCTCAGTGATCCCGTCACCTGATCAGAGAGCACATTAACACTCCAGCCACAACCATACACCTATTAGACAGGCAAGGAGAGGGCTGGAAGCTGTAACTTTGATTGACTTCATTGCTGTTTGTCCCGCCAGAGATGGCTGTTCCAACTCACACTTGGACACGAGGAGTAATTGAGGGAGACAGAACGACAGATAGGCTGAGTCAGAGTTTAAAATGAGAGGGCCATGCCATCAAGTCATTCTTCCACACGGAGTGCCTCACCTCTACAAAGTAATTACATGATCAGTCTTATTATATTGGCGCCAACAACTGAATTGAGGGGTACAGGATGCACCAACAAGTGCAAAGGGGAAATTGCAGGAAAATGGCCTAAATAGAAACCAGTTTTTCCATGGCAGTCTAAATTAAAGCCTGCCCAAGCATGCAGAAATGCAAGCAAACACATAGGCCCTAAACGCACACTATATTGAAAGTCACTTTGGTGGGCCTACTAAACTGGCGGGCAAGCAGTTGTGTAAGATGAAAAGCTTCTCCCTTCTCCTGCTCAGTTATTATTAGGTGGGGCTGCTGCAAGTATGCAGGCAGGCAAAACTGCATATCCCATACCCTGGCTACTGTCCAGGTACACAGACTGAGTGCGTGGTCACAGAAGCACTGGCATGGCCATCCTGCTGCTGTTATTCCTGCAGCATTCAAGCAGTCAGAGTGTAACACTGTGGGTGTGTGGGTGTGAGAGCGAGATATTCAGGGACTGAGATAGAGTACACTTCTGGCTAAGCCCAGGTTCCTGACTGCAATGTCATTCCTTCACACATACAGTCAATGTCCGGCATCCAACAATGTAGGATCCTCTCATAAAAAAAGAGTTATACATGCTTAGTTAGTTCTGCAACATAGCCAGGCTAAATATATATAAACCATGACACAGATTTCCAAAAAAACACTTACTAAACTTTGACAAATGAGTTTAGAAACTGTGGTTATACCCTTTCTGGTAACTAAATTAGGCCTACGCTACAGGCAGTTTTTTCGGGTGGGCAGTTGGCTACACAGCTAAGGAACTAGCTAGCTGCTACCTAGACTAACGTTAGGTCCTAGTTAACATTAGTCAGGCTGAATGATAATCAAAACAACCTTCGCTACCTTGCAAGTTTCAATTATAATGTTAGCTAGCTAGCTAAAATGAACAAGTATACTTTTTAGTTACTAGTTAGCTGGTTAAATAGCTAACTGGTTAACTCGAGAAAGACTGGCGAACTTGGTAGCCGAGTTAGTAAGATAGCTATGTAGCTAACGTTAGTACGTTAGCCGGTAGCTTGCTAGCTAACGATAGATAGTTGACCTAAAGTTTAGTTAGCCAGGTAGCTAGTTAGTTACCAAGCTAAGTTTCTGCTAACTAGCTAATAAAGTTAGCTGGCTGGCAATGTATATAGCTAGTTAGCCAACGACCTAGCTAGAAACTAGTTTGTCAGCAACACCGCAAGTTAGCTAACGTTAGCTAGCTAACTAGTAGTTAAAGTTAGCTAGTGGATATTTTCCAATGTGCATTGCACAAATAACATAAACGGATCGAATCAAAGCTAGCTAGCCAACTAGCGAATATGAATCTACGCAATACGAAGCTAGTTAGTTAGCTTGTTAGTTAGCTTGTTGTTAGCTGACAGTGACATTTTCAAAGTATATGTTTAGCTAGCTAGCCAGGCCCATCTTTAGCAAATGACATCCCCGGTGCTCGCGTCTCAGCGTACCCGGCCAATACTTACAGGAAAGGCTCTTATCCTCATCTTGGTGTCCTTCTTGACGCTGCCTTTGAGGTTGGACATGATTAGTTAGTACGTCCGTCGTCTCTATGTTATCATGAAATACTATTTTAGGCTGCAACAGGGAGGCCTACAAATGAAAAGCGGTAAAGATCCCCCTCGACCTTCCCCTTGGGTTTGGGTCCGTCTCTCTGCGCTGTTGTTGTCACTCCTCTTCTCTCAATTTATGCCTAGCTTCTTCTTGCAGTGATGGCGGACAACAAGCTTCCACTGGGCAGTAGTAACAGCGCACCGAAATAACGCGAGATGAACCATGGAAAAAATAATGTTGCAAAAATATATAGCACGTTCATCCTCATTCCACAAGTTGGAGATATATCCAATTAACTTTAACCCAGTGTCAGGTATTGACAATTTATGTGTATACAGTCTATTCAGTTCATATCATATTGCATTTCATCTGGTGGCCAAAACTGGAGGTGACATGGATTTTTAAAAAATATTACACAAATGTGCACATTTCAAAATCTAGCATTATTTCTTTGCACTCACCAGCTACTTACCTACATTATTGAATAGTCAGTGCCCATGCACTAGGCCTGTCTACTGTGATGAGTTGGCCAATACAGTCTCAATCACATGATAGCCATACTGTTTTGTTATTTAAATACCAGTGTGCATGTACACATAAAGCCTGCAACATGACAGAGTGCTAATGTAAACTGAGGGGTATTGTGATGTCACTAGGCCTAATAGCGTGACAGGTTAGGAACCATTGCTTCTGTTCGTTTCAGGAGACCCTTACTTAACATGTGAAATGTATAAAAGCAACCTTTTTTTTTTCTTCAGGTAGGCCTAAGATATTTAGTGCTAAAGGTCCTGAGTGGTAACTGTGATTTGTCATTGCTGAACCCGCTAGGTGACTGTTAAAGTAAATATAGGCCTATTTGTGTTATTTTTATTTTATTTATTTATTTCACCTTTATTTAACCAGGTAAGCCAGTTGAGAACAAGTTCTCATTTACAACTGCGACCTGGCCAAGATAAAGCAAAGCAGTGCGATAAAAACAACAACACAGAGTTACATATGGGGTAAAACAAAACAAAATAAACAAAATAAATGCACTCTTATTGCCTTGTCTAACTGTTCTTTCTTTCTTTCTTTTTCTTTCTTTCTTTCATGCAGAGGTAGGCTATTCTTGTCACTGTTGTTGGTCCGTTTTTTTTGTGTGACCTGTAGTCCTGAGAAAGCACTGTTGCACTTCAGGAAGGAACTTAGATCTAAAAAGCCTTTTGTGTAGGTTCACTGGTGTCAATGTGCTTTGTACTGTTACCCATTATTACAAGGAAATCTCAACCTTGAGCCTTTAATAAACTACTTTTTATTTTCTCCCATATTTGCCTCAGACTGTTTCCCTATAAATGGACCTAGAACCTGTGGTTACTGTTGGCCTAAATATTAGGCTACGTCTAGATATTACACTAGGCCTTATACAAAATCAGATGATAAAATTAAAATGGAAACAGTTGACATTTGAAAGAATTACTTTTATTTGTTGGCTTTGCACAAAATATTGTGTTACAATTACTGTTGGTATTTGCTCAGAGAATTAAAAGTAGCCAATGTTGGCCACACACATGATAATAAGCCTCCTCCGAAATACAGTGAACACTCACAAGAGGGTAGCGTTGAGCTCTTATCAATCCAAGGCTATACAGACGAAGGTCAGGTGATGAACGAAACAACTAAATAAATGTCACCATTCACATGTCACATTACGCTGTCCAGTGTCCACCGTGCCTCCGTCAGAGGGCTATTCCATCTCTCTCTCTCTCTGCACCCTGGTCACATTAAAATCCCCTGGGTCGATGATCGACCAAGGACTGGAAGATGGAATATCTTCTCACAGTCATGACGATGCTCTCTGAATAAGGCAATAGACAGATAGTAAAATAATGTTGTGTAGCCAAATGCATTGCATTATCCCATGTATTCTTCACAGAAGGCTACAAACAAACAAAAAATATTTGAGCAGCAATGAACGGGGTTCACAGGATGACAGAAAGGACACAAGACCAGTTGGATAACAAAGTAAGCACTATATTGTGTAGGAACTAGCTTCCTTTATGTGCAAACAGTGAAAGCATTACATTTTACATTACATTTTAGTCATTTAGCAGACGCTCTTATCCAGTTAGTGAGTGTATACATTTTATTTTTTAGTATGTTTCTTTTAAATTAAAAAAAATAATAATTATACTGGCCCCCCGTGGGAATCGAACCCACAACCCTGGCGTTGCAAACGCCATGCTCTACCAACTGAGCTACATCCATGCCGGCCATTCCCTCCCCTACCCTGGACGACGCTGGGCCAATTGTGCGCCGCCCCATGGGTCTCCCGGTCGCGGCCGGCTACGACAGAGCCTGGATTCGAACCAGGATCTCTAGTGGCACATAAATACCACAAGGATGATGTTTAATCTAGAGCTGTAGGTTGCATCTTTGAATGCAGCAGGTAATCATTCTTAAGGTCATTACTTAATGTATTGAGTTGATATAGAAATATGAATATTTATAAATATATATACTATTATATATATATATATATATAGAGATATAATATAAATATATATATATATGATATATATATATATATTATATAATATATATAAATATATATATATATACAGTGCATTCGGAAAGTATTCAGATCCCTTGACTTTTTCCACATTTTATTAAGTTACAGCCTTATTCTAAAATTGATTAAATAAAAACATTTCCTCATCAATCTACACACAATACCCCATAATGACAAATCGAAAACAGGTTTTTAGAATTTTAAATATTTAAATATTTAAACAGAACTACCTTATTTAAATAGGTATTCAGACCCTTTGCTATGTGACTTGAAATTGAGCTCAGGTGTATCCTGTTTCCATTGATCATCCTTGATGTTTCTACAACTTGATTATATATATATATATATATATATATATATACACTACCATTCAAAAGTTTGGGGTCACTTAGAAATGTCCTTGTATTCGAAAGAAAAGCAATTTTTTTGTCCATTAAAATAACAAACAAATAACTTTCTTCTGAAACTCGTGAGTCTATTCTTGTTCTGAGAAATGAAGGCTATTTCATGCGAGAAATTGTCAAGAAACTGAAGATCTCGTACAACGCTGTGTATTACTCTCTTCACAGAACAGCGCAAACTAGAGTAATACACAGTGTTGTACGAGATCTTCAGTTTCTTCGCAATTTCTCGCATGGAATAGCCTTCATTTCTCAGAACAAGAATAGACTGGCGAGTTTCAAAAGAAAGTTATTTGTTTCTGGCCATTTTGATCTTGTAATCGAACCCACAATTGCTGATGTTATATAAATAAATTGATTTGCATTTTAATGAGGGAAATAAGTATTTGACCCCCTCTCAATCAGAAAGATCTCTGGCTCCCAGGTGCCTTTTATACAGGTAACGAGCTGAGATTACGAGCACACTATTAAAGGGAGTGCTCCCAATCTCAGCTTGTTACCTGTATAAAAGACACCTGTCTACAGAAGCAATCAATCAATCAGATTCCACAACTCTCCCAATGGCCATGACCAAAGAGGCTCAATGGTATGTTCAGGGACAAGATTGTAGACCTACACAAGGTTGAATGGGCTACAACCCATCGCCAAGCAGCTTGGTGAGAAGGTGAAAACAGTTGGTGCGATTACAGTGGGGGAAAAAAGTATTTAGTCAGCCACCAATGTGCAAGTTCTCCCACTTAAAAAGATGAGAGAGGCCTGTAATTTTCATCATAGGTACACGTCAACTATGACAGACAAAATGAGAAAAATAAATCCAGAAAATCACATTGTAGGATTTTTAATGAATTTATTTGCAATTATGGTGGAAAATAGGTATTTGGTCAATAACAAAAATGTCTCAATACTTTGTTATATACCCTTTGTTGGCAATGACACAGGTCAAACATTTTCTGTAAGTCTTCACAAGGTTTTCACACACTGTTGCTGGTATTTTGGCCCATTCCTCCATGCAGATCTCCTCTAGAGCAGTGATGTTTTGGGGCTGTCGCTGGGCAACACGGACTTTCAACTCCCTCCAAAGATTTTCTATGGGGTTGAGATCTGGAGACTGGCTAGGCCACTCCAGGACCTTGAAATGCTTCTTACGAAGCCACTCCTTCGTTGCCCGGGCGGTGTGTTTGGGATCATTGTCATGCTGAAAGACCCAGCCACGTTTCATCTTCAATGCCCTTGCTGATGGAAGGAGGTTTTCACTCAAAATCTCACGATACATGGCCCCATTCATTCTTTCCTTTACACGGATCAGTCATCCTGGTCCCTTTGCAGAAAAACAGCCCCAAAGCATGATGTTTCCACCCCCATGCTTCACAGTAGGTATGGTGTTCTTTGGATGCAACTCAGCATTCTTTGTCCTCCAAACACGACGAGTTGAGTTTTTACCAAAAAGTTATATTCTGGTTTTATCTGACCATATGACATTCTCCCAATCCTCTTCTGGATCATCCAAATGCACTCTAGCAAACTTCAGACGGGCCTGGACATGTACTGGCTTAAGCAGGGGGACACGTCTGGCACTGCAGGATTTGAGTCCCTGGCGGCGTAGTGTGTTACTGATGGTAGGCTTTGTTACTTTGGTCCCAGCTCTCTGCAGGTCATTCACTAGGTCCCCCCGTGTGGTTCTGGGATTTTTGCTCACCGTTCTTGTGATCATTTTGACCCCACGGGGTGAGATCTTGCGTGGAGCCCCAGATCGAGGGAGATTATCAGTGGTCTTGTATGTCTTCCATTTCCTAATAATTGCTCCCACAGTTGATTTCTTCAAACCAAGCTGCTTACCTATTGCAGATTCAGTCTTCCCAGCCTGGTGCAGGTCTGCAATTTTGTTTCTGGTGTCCTTTGACAGCTCTTTGGTCTTGGCCATAGTGGAGTTTGGAGTGTGACTGTTTGAGGTTGTGGACAGGTGTCTTTTATACTGATAACAAGTTCAAACAGGTGCCATTAATACAGGTAACGAGTGGAGGACAGAGGAGCCTCTTAAAGAAGAAGTTACAGGTCTGTGAGAGCCAGAAATCTTGCTTGTTTGTAGGTGACCAAATACTTATTTTCCACCATAATTTGCAAGTAAATTCATAAAAAACCCTACAATGTGATTTTCTGGATTTTTTTCCCTCAATTTGTCTGTCATAGTTGACGTGTACCTATGATGAAAATTACACAATTGGACAATTACTTGCACAATTGGTGG